TTTCCCCTTGTCGCCCGTTCGCGGCCCCCTGCCTTCCGGTGCTCCTTGAGCAGGGCTCGTTTGATGGCCACCCGGCCGTTTTTAAGATGTACAAGAGCTGTTGCGTCTTGGAATGCTCGTTTTTGCCCGTTTACAACAGCTCGCGTCCTGCATTCATTCGCTTCCGGGGAGCCGCCCTCTGGCCATTGTCGCCAGTCCGTCTCCCAGGTGGAAACCACCCCGTAAAGGAGAGGTTTAGGTGCTGCCACCAGATGCATCACCCCACCGCCTGCAGGCGGGTTCAGATTTCCAGCAAATGGCACTAGAACAACGGAAGGAAGTACTTCCAAGGAATTCATTCATCACATGACCATCTCTTGTTAAAAAAACCATTTATCGAAGGTTGTGATCTCTTTTAAGAACAACTTATTCATGACACTTGCTAGACGCTAGGGCAGACTATTCAAGGACTGTCGTGCAGGAGTTTGGGTAGGGGAGACAGATGCGGTGCAGCTCTCAATACAACAAATAAGGGGATTCACAGTCAAGGAGCAGGAGGAGAGCGCAGGCGGCGTGAAATTACTGCGGTAGGAGAATCCTTTGCGAAACTGACCCAACATGGTTCTTGCTGAAACCAGACTAAGGCGGCCAAGGACAGAGCTGAAGGTGGCGCCTCATCAGAGAAGCCTGAGGAGCCCGACTCAAGTTTGCTGGGAGTCCTTGTCACCTCAACCATGCAATGACGTGTGACGGCTGCGATGAATACCAGCTAGAAAGTGTGTCTTGAAACAACAGTTTTAGGTGAAAAACACAAGGGCCAGGAGAGCAGTGTGTAACAGAAAAGCTGACATACCTTTTCTGTGGCCTGGAAGTGAGGTATCTGCTGGGAAACAGGCTGGAGCTGGAGAGGCAGGCAGCGTGTGCAGCGGGGAACCAAATCTTTAGGCCAGTGGTTCTTGGGCTTCAACCAAAATCCCGTGGGGAGCTTTAAAACGTGCTGGTTAAGGAGCCTCACTCCAGGCCAACCAGCTTAACCTCTGATGGTAACACATGGGCATCAGGGTATTTTTTCTGCTCCCCAGGTGATTCCATTGTGCAGCTAAGGCTGAGAACCCTTTAGGCCAAGTCCAGGTGTTTAGACTTCATCCTAATTACAACGAAGCAACCCAGAAAGGTTTTTAGCAGGGGAGGCTTGAGGGCTGATCTGTGTGATTTAGAAATCAACTACAGGCATACCTTGTTTTACTGCATTTCACTTTATTGCACTCCAATTTTTTTTTTTTAAACCCTCCACCAGCAAAAAAGGATTACGATACTCACTTTAATGCAGTGGTCTGGAACCGAACCTGCTGGATCTGCCAGGTCTGCCTGTGTAGAGAGAAGACAGGTTATGGCAGGTGCCAGAGGCAAGAGGATGACTTGGATGCAAAAAGCCCCCTGGAGATATGACAGGGGCAGATTCAAGAGCAACTGAGACTCCTTAGCTCAAACTGTCACCTCAGGGAGAGACTAGGGGAAAGGACATGTTTGTTTTTTGCTGTAAATATTCTGCATTGTTAAGATATTACAAGTGTATTTTTTGTAAGTTAAAAATGTTTTAAAAGCTATAATAAATTTAAAAAATCTTATGACACTTAGACCTTCGGTTTGGGCCAAAGACAAAGTAGGCTACGTTACAGAAATAAATGTATTTCGTTTCATGTAAAAAGTCAGATTCATGCACTGAAGTTTGTCATCAAAGCTTTGGGGAGGAGAAGTCAACAGTTATGTCACCGAGAGGTGAGGCAAGGTGAGGCCTGAACAGTATTGACGGAATTTAGTGGCTGGAAAACAGATGCCTTTAGCTTGACGGTGAGTGTAAGCAATGCTTCAGTTAGGCTGTGTGTGTGTGTTGGGAGGGAGCTAGTTGAGGCACATGCTTGTTCCCTCTGCGGAGGTAACAGTCAGACCTTTTCATCCATGCGGATGCCACGTCAGCCTTGAGCAGCCTGCTCCCTCAGCAGCAGCGCCAGACACTGCAGATACTCGTCTGTGTCGTTATTTGCAAGTCTGAATTACACGTACTTCAGAAAACTGGACTAATGATTAATTTACACATGAAATAATTCAACAACCGATACCTGAATACCCTTGAGGAGCTTAAGTCATAAATTGTATTCTGAATATCTCTGAATTGAATAGGTAGCTATTAAACAAAGAATATATTATCGAATCTCAAAAGTCCTAATTTTACAAATGCATAAATTAAGGAACTTGGCAGGAGTATCAGGAGGGAATAGAAAAAGGGCTTAAAACTTTTAAGTGATAATCTCGCATTCAAATTCAGAATATGGATATAAAAATACAAATCATATTTTCTTAAAAAGTACAAGAAGACATTCTGATTCAGTTGGCTATGAGCAGACTTTTAAGGTTTCAGTGGGAGCTGCATACATGCTGCATGTGGAATCAATAAATTCTAAAGTAAAGGGCAGTGTCTTTAGCAGTTCTAAAGTAATGGACAAATTAGTTGGTAATTTAGCAGTATTCCAGCTGTTCGAATAATGGCCATTTGTTGTCGCAAGTAAACAGGCTACCCCGGAGAAACTAATTATTTTATTTTAAGTCACAGAAGTAAAGTCATGCATTATAAAAGTTTCAGCGCACAGACGCAAGGTCCTCAGCGGGCTGGCGTGAGGGCCTCGTACAGTCTCTGCGCAGCCAGCTCCACCATTTCCCGGAGAGATTCGTCATCTTCACTTCCTTCCTCACACTCGACAGCCTGGAAGTGGAAACACGAACAAGCCTTTCACCTCGAGTCTAGAATTATTGTGCAGAAGATAAACTAAGACTCTTCAAGGACAATCATTTCCTAGAGGGGTGGAGGTCACCACAGCACTGCAGGGTGACTCCTGACGCACAAGGCTGGGTCTGACGAGAGATCAGTCTGGAAAGTCTAGGGGACTACACTCACGTCACAGCCCACACTCTGAGCCAGCAAACGATGCTGAGGGATGCAGTGTGGGCACCACAGATCACTCAGTGAGCGCTGTCCGGTCATCTACTCGTCTCCCGACATTCGGTATTACGTCTGACTTAGACTCACAGTCTTCTAATTACTTCACAACTACAAAACACTCTATGCTGTTTAAATATTTTTTTATCATACCATAAATAGTCTTCACACAGAAACTGTGGAAAGAAAAGCATCCTTAATTCCATGACCTAATGATAACTATTAACATTTCAGTGTATAACCTTCTAACCTCATTAGCTATACATATATATTTATTTAAAACAAAAATGGGATAATTATACTTGCTTTCGTGTAACTACTTTTTTTCTACTCAACTATATCGGTGGACAAATTTGCACACTAATAATCTACGTCATCATCCATGTACGTGGCTGTATATATAGTGTATTCTATGTATGAGGATATACTTCTATTCATGTTGTAATCAATGCTAAAATAGACATCCATGAATATATATCTTTGCTCTCTTGCCTAATTATTTTCTTTGCTTAAATCCAGTAAGTAGAGTTGAGAATAAAGGTATTTACTTTTTTAAGATTTCTGATGTCTATCACCAAACTTTACCTTGCAGAAAGGGTGTCAGAGCTAATTTACAACCTCCTCCCCAGCCCCAAACGGCGCTTGAGAATAACTCTTCCCGGTTCTCTCACTATTGAGGGGTCATGGCATACTAAAAATTTTAGTATGTGCCAATATGACAAGCAAACAGTGCTATTTCATACTTTACATTTGTATTTCTACTAATTATTAGTGGACTGAACATTTGTTTCACATGACTATCGGCTATATTTTTTTCTCTAATGAATTACTTGTTTATGTGCTTAGCTTTTTTTTCTATTGAGGTAAAATAAATCTGTTTTCTCAAAGCATCTAAATAGTAAAAGAACATACAAAAGAAATTTAAAGCATATGTTACTTGTTTAGCATAACTGTTCTCATCTTCAAAACAACCCTGCAAGGAAATATACTTATTCGTTCATTCTTATGAAATAACTACGCAAGATCTGCTGGTGTGAGACCAGAGTAGGCCCCATACTCTCAAATACTGTCTGTAAAAGCCGCTGGGATCTTGCTGGTACAAACAGAAGAGCGGCCTCTCTGAAAAGCCCCGAATCGACTGGACGCCCAGGCACAGGCATGCGCAGGTGGATGGAGGCGTACTACGTAAAAGAAAAAACAACGGAGTAACACGCACCCGGGGAATGCACACTGCGCAGCAACACGGCGACACACGGCGGGCAGGTGAGAAATGAAGAGCGAGAGTGGGACACTCGACCTGCACCGACAACGCCCTCGTAAACCACCAGCGCCAAAGAAAACGAAAGGCCGTGCCAAAGTGCAGAGACAGTGCCTTAGCTGTGGCATCAGATTATTTTTGCCTTCACTTTATCTTCTAAATGGATTGAAACGTGGAGCAGCTACATACCCGTGTCTCCAAGTTTATGTTGGCGGTTTTCCCATCCACTGTGACACTAAGACTAGAATCATCTTTTACACTTACACAGTCTTCTCCAAATATGTCCCTTAAGATAAACAAAGATACATCAGTGGAAAATGCATTTACAAATATGTGGAGTAGAGTTTTATATATTTGGGGAAAAACAATATTGAAAATAGGCCTTAGTTTTGAAGTAGAACACTTGTATCTATACTTATATTTACTTGAGCTATACTTGTTTACCTTCATATATTTTATTAATTTCATAAAGCAGATTGAACACACGGCTATCATTTACTCAAAATGCTCTATTCAGGAGGCCTTGTGCTAGGCACTTTATATACCTGCTTCTAACCTGTAATAACTCTGGTAAGGTGGGAAAACAAGACATACGAAAGTGATCTGCCTAAAGCCCAGGGCTGGTAAGCAGCAGAGCTGGGATTCCAGTCCAGGCATCAGGGCTGAACTGGTCCCACATCCCCTGGCTGTCTGCTCCTTTTAATCACCTCCAAACACCTCCTTGGAGTTAAACCCTGTGTTCACTGAGCATCTCCTACATGCCAGGTGCTGTGCCTGGTGGTGGGGACAGGGAAGTCATAAAGACAATCCCCGTCATAGAGAAACTACAGTTAAGTCATTCATTTCCACATTCGTCCCTGTCACAAGTTACACAGGCATTTGCAAACAGCAGCCCAATCTGCATGCTGGAATGGGCAAAAGTAGCCAAAAGCATCACCTGGACCACCCCTTCTATGGAGCTGTTAAGATTACTCTGGGCTGCAGCTAAGCCTGAGGCTCTAAATTAAGTAAAATGTATTTCACAGCCACAGGTACTTAGAATGAGCTAGAGTGTTTAGCTAGAGGTTCAAACTGCTTTTCTGACAGCAACACAGGCAACGGAACAACCCAGCTCCCTCCCCCGCCACCATCTTGAGTGATACCGGGGGCAACACTTACTGCAGCATGATCTCTAACCTCTTGCTATAAACGTGCATTTCTAATTTTTTAGAGACCTTCTGTACTGCACCTGGAAAAAAAAAGCAGCAGAGTTCAGTTTCCAAATTCCTATTTAGAATAATTTCCAAATCAATAACCAGAACATGGTTACTGATGGAGTGATTTACCAGAGGCAAACATGCATACATATCATGTACCTGCTGAGGCAAATTAATATTTTTATCATTTCGTTTCACATTCTTGTTAAAAAACCACAAAATGACACTTAAGATTATTTTAAATTTTATTTCCAAGGTTTCCCATATTTCATTTATTAGCAGAAGTGAGTGCAATTATAACTCCAAGAATGTTAGGGGCACATCCAAGCCCAAAGATCTCTGAAGTCTTTTGTCTAAAATGTTACATACATTTAACATTCCACTATGTATAATGCACCCAAAATTCTTACCAAACTATCTAAAATCACTTGCTGTCAGATTACCTAGCTTCCCCTGAAGTAACTGACGGTCCAGAAGGATACGCCACACTTGACTTGGGGTTGCAAGTTTGCCCCGCACATCACTAAGCACCTGCCAGCCCATCACCAGCAGCAAAACCATGCAGGATGAACTGTCTGGCACTTCCTCAAGAAGTTAAACAGAGTGAACATATGACGCGGTCACTCTACTCCTGGGTACTGACCCAGGGAGACGAAAACCTACATCCACATAAACCTGTACCTGAACGCTTATAGCAGCACTATTCATAAATGAAGGTAAAACAACCCAGATGTCCATCACTTAATAAATGGATAAATAAAATGTAGTATAACTATACAATAAAAAATTATTCATCCATAAAAAGGAATAAAGTCTTGATTCATACTACAATTCATTCATGGATAAACCTTGAAAACATTATGCTGAGTGAAAGCAGTCAGTCCCGAAGACTACATATTATATACTTCCATTTATATAAAATGTCCAGAACAAACAAATCTACAGACAGAAAGTAGATCAATGGTTGCCTTGGGCTTGGGCTTGGGCTTGGGCTTGGGCTTGGGCTTGGGAGAGAGAGAGAGAGAGAGATAGAGAGAGAGAGAGAGAGAGAGAGAGAGAGAAGCAAGTTGGGAGGTGGTGTGTGTGTGTGTGTGTGTGTGAGAGAGAAGGAGTATGGCGTTTCTTTTGGGAGTGATATAAATGCTCTGAAGTTGACTGTGGTGGTTCTTACTCTGTGGTAGAAAAGAGCCAAACTGTCATTTCTCCTAAATTATTCTGTAATTCAGATCATAGTTACTCTGTTTTTCACTCGTGAGTTTTAATTGAATATACAACTAACCAGATGCCAGCCAAGAAAGCTATATAATAAAACCTTTATACCTTAATTATAATCTTTAACTCCATTATTATTAAGTATTAAATAAGCATTTAATTTATATGTAAAAAAATCTCATAAAATACATTATTGAAAAATAAGTATCTAAGCTATAAAACTATATATTAAAAGAAACTCCTCCAATATGACATTATACCAAATGTGAAATCATACAATTATACACATATACCTGCCCTTTGTAGGTTTGTGTCAAAACAGGACACAGACATGCTAAAAACAGATGCAGCGTAAAACGGAAAAACACAGTGGATAGCAGACCATAAAGAGTACACTCTGAAAATGTATACGCTTTGCTATGTGTCCTTGGTGAGAATGGGGGTGGGGAGATATAGAAATTGAACTTGGGGGTAAATACACACACACACATACAAATGCAAGTGTTTGCAGAATCTGGACTGAAGTGTCAACGGACTAAGAAATAAAAAAGGAACAAAATGCTATTAAAGAATCAGACTGTTTCATAGCAGGTGCCACTAGAACTGAGCTGGCAAACTTGTTCTATAAATGGCCAGATCTTGTTTTAGGCTTTGTGGACCAGACGGTCTCTGCAACAACTATTCCACACGCTGTAGGAGCTCAGAGAGCAGCCTCTGGCAATATGCAAATGGACGGCATGGCTATGTTTCAATAAAACTTTATTTACAAAAACAAGTAGAGGGCTAGATTTGGCTCATGGGCCCCAGCCACTGACTCTGTTCTCCAATGTTAAAATACCCAATTTGGACAGGATAAAGCCAATCAGTTAACTAATAAATGTCTAGCATGAAGGTCCTCAAATTCCTCATGTGTAGCAGAAGGGTGTGTCCATCCCCGCAATACTTTTCATCTTCTGAAGGAGCAAGTTCTACTTATTAAAGCCCATCACTTAGCCCCAGGGGTGGCTTCTCATGCTAATACACCACAAACACACTTTGCATCTTTTTAAAATTCTTCTTGTCTGTTTTCTTTCTCTCACTCCCTGTACTGAATCCATCAGAAAATACTGCCGGCTTTGCCTTCAGAATCCCTCCAGAACACAACTACCTCTGCTGCCTCCGCCACCGCCACCCAACACTGAGCCTGTCTGCCGCCTGGGTGACCACAGGCCCCTTGCTGGAACCTCTGCTAACAGTCTGCTCTCAATAAGCAGAAGAGGAACCCCTTGAAAACCCTACAATGTAACCCATTTCACTCAGACTACAAGTCTAAAGTCCTTAAAATGGCCATGCAGGCCCGACACAATCTGGCCCCACACTGAGTGCCAGCCCGCAGAGGGCAAGAATCTGTTTGATTTGTTCACTGATGTTCAGTAAACGCCTAGAAAAATCCCTGCCAACAGCAGATGCTCAATAAATAGCTGTCGAGTGAATGTTAAATAAAAATACGAAGCACCTCACTGCTTCAGAAGAATAAAAATTCTCATTCTGGATACACCGCAAAGCGGGGGAGAACTAGGGAACAGAAGGCAGCCCGCCAGTTTAACGCGATGAACTCGTGGAAAGAGCCTATTGACATTCGTCTGCAACAAACTTCTGCTGAAACGCCCAGAGGCCGATCATCTGAAGAAACACTTATGTTATTATTACCGTAAGATGGGCCACTAATAATGTCATAGTTGCTTTTAATTCAACTACCATAGATCAGAGATAAAGTACATTTCCACTTTGAACTAGAGAAATAAGAACAATACCCAAGATCAAGACAAACCAATCGGTGACAGTTCACATTAAATATTTAATGAACAGCAGACATTAAATATTTGGTGGTTATCTGTGAAACCACGGCATCTTTTGTGTTTTTCAGGGTAATCGTTAGGTGGAGCCTGCATCAGAACAGCAGACGACATCTTGACAGCTTAGTTCAGTCTCATGCTCTGTGACCATCCTCCACCACGCAGCATGGAAATGGGCTTAGAGCACCTCGGACAGAGCTGAAGGCTACCAACACCTGAACTGGCCCAGGAAAATCTTTTTGCATAGAAATTTCATTTTTCAGAGCAGTGTATAAATATCTGACAAAAATATCACAAAACCGATTTCATTTTACAAAAGGGTTGCCTTGGAGGAGAGAACACAGTTCGATTCAGGAGCATTTGATTTGAATGGAACGAACCTGAGCTACGCAGTAGCTGTGCTCACAGGGAACTGGGCGTCAGTACTAAAAGGCATGCCCACTGACAACTCCGGGTTTCGTCCTTTCGTTCCTGCCCCTGCCCCTTGTCCCTCACCCCCTGCACTGGGTCTGACCTTGCTGACCTTGTGAAAGGCCTCCTCCCCACGCAGCGCCACCCTGCGCTTTATCCCTTATGGTTTTATCACCTGAGACCAGAAAATGCAAAGCAATGAAATAAGAGCCAACTAACAACTGCCTTTAAAACTTCCGTCGTGGATGGACCTGTGTGCCACGGCAAGGACGGTGACAGTGCACACCACGTGACAGTAGCTGGGAAGTTCTTCCGTGGCCTGTAGAAACGCACAGCTCCATCTCCTGTCACACGCACACAGGAGGGGGGGGGTCCACTATCCACTAGTTAACTCAGCTAAAACACGTGATCAAATGGTGTCCAAATTATAATTTTTACGACTATTCCTCAAAACAAATTCAAACACTTACAGGTAACTCAAGTGAGTAATTTAGACTTCTCCGGGTATTTGTTCATTTCATAGTATAGATTCAGCCAGTTACAAGAAGATGGATTATGAAGTAGTCAGCTAAACTTTTTTTCTCCTGAAATCATAGAACTACTTACCTAATTTTAAAAAAGCGAAATATTCTATCAGAACAACATCTGATAGAACTTCCCCTAGGATGCCACATGAAAGGCAAAGGCTGAGAAGCCTCCCAGGATATGTCATGGGTGCCTTCTTCCCCTAGGAGCAAAATGGGGCTGCCTTATATACCAACAACGCACACCTTACGACACGGATTATACTAATTATGTATAAAATAAAATCCAACTGTAAAGAAATAACAAAAATATGCTCACTGGTGTTTTCTTTGGTTGAAAATTACTACTTAGAAAAAACAAAGTTATTGCAAAATTGCCCCATAGGGAGAGTCCATCCTATTCCACAAGTTTCATTAGACAAGAATATAGCAGTCTATTTTCCTATTAGACATGCTGGCTTAGGATAGTGATATTTTGGAATTTCTGATTAAATTGTCTTTAAAAGAACTGTCACTAAGAGATTTTATCTTGGTGTTAATTGTGACCAGATTTTTATAGCACAAAGACCTAGGATAAATAGTGAAATATTAGTAATGTGCATCGTTATGCATATATTGCATCTTAAAGGTCATAGGAATGAAAAAAAATCAGAAGATTTCAAGTTCCTTAGGATTCTACTTTCTGCTTTCTCGTTTACAGAACCATGGGAGAAGTGAAAGAATTCAATGATAAAATGAAATGCATGTATAATAAATGAAAAACGAAATCATTGTGTACCTTTCCTTATTTTCGGGTTTGACTGGACTTCTAGTATCACGGTTGTTACGGTATCTGCGTACATGTCGTTGGAAGGGTTTGCCAACCACTGCAGAGCAAAAGGCAGAGTGAGGGAGGGTCAACGACGGCCAAGCACAGAAGCTGCGACCACCACCACCCTTCCCCGGACTGTGCACCTGGGACTAGTGTCTCGCGTTTTCACTGAAGTAACCTGATTCGCTGTTTGCTGAAATTAACAATGCTGGACTTCTTTCTTTTAATAACAGTAAAATGTGGTGAGCTTCCTTCGAGGCTAGTGTTTTATATGCATTATCTCATCCAATTCTTATAACGTCTTCATTTGATAAAGGAGAAGATGGACTCAAAAGTGACTTGAGTAAGAAAACATAAGTAGTCATCGCTGGAAATGGGATTCAAACTATTTCCCAATCACTATGTTTCGGTAGCACAGACAGAATCGTAAGAAGGTAGTATTTTTACACATTTCTTCTTGCTTTTCATTTGAAGCCCTGGCACTCTTCCAGGTACCCAGTGCTCCTAGAAAGTTTTCTATGTTTGCCAAGTTAGGGTGAGACCAGTATTTCAGAAATAGTGCCCTCCATATTGTTTTTCTCTCTCCAAAGAGTACTTTTACAAGCAATATGAGGCCCTTGAAAAACTTCCCCTAGGATCTTTTCTGACATGTTAACTCTAGGGAACAAACATACATTCTTTAACAGCAGTTAGCAGAAGAGCCAAAGTAACGTCTCTAACAACTTTCTCCTTTCTTGGATATTAATGTTTTAGATATTATTGTATGTAACTTCATGTTACAGACAACTAACTGTTCTTTTGGACACTTTCTTTGGTTATTTTTGGCCTTATAAATCAAATCTAGACTTCGATCACAGAACTGCAGTGGGACCCAAGCTGGAAGATCTTTTTTGTTTGTTTTAAAAAATAATATGTATAAACAGAACCCCTGGCCATATAGCTGGGAAATTTGCATACAATTTACAAACGGACACGTGGACCCCGCCCCCGATCATTCAGTTCCAGGGTCTATTTTGGAAAATCCTTCTTTTAACTTAACAGATGCCAACCTATAAAAATCAATCATCAAGTTCATTTGCTGTCTGGGTGCCAAATTCTACCAGCAGGAGTTTAAAATTCTAATAGTGGGAACCATATTTACCTAAATTAATAATTTCTTGCCTTTGTGGATTTGGGTCATATTAATGTTGCTTATTTGAGTCTGCAAAATTTCATTCTCTTTGCTGTATGACAAGTTTTAAAGTAACAGAATGAGATTATTATTTTGAGAACTTTCTTTTCACATAACTGAAGACACCCTGGGGTACCACAAAATCAGTTCAGACTTACTCATTTGAGACCTCTACTCATTACACATATTAAATATGAAGTCTTCATTTGTTATTATTTCTACATATAAAATGTCTAGCTATGTTATATTTAAAGCTGATCTTGGAAAGAAAACTATACACACAAATACTTTCCAACAATTTTTTCCTGAATGGGAAGAAACTAATTTTCTCTACAATTACGGGTGAATTCTGAAAACTTTTTTCCCCTCCTTGTTTAGGTAAATGATCTTATCTTACTTCTAGTACCACCATTCCTGGTTCCTGTATTACAGTAATATTTTTGAACACTTTCAAAGCAGGTTTTTCTTGAATTTCTAATTCTTCTACATCACCTGAAAGAAAAAAATTATAAGAAGTATATAATTTTCTGATAATCTTCCAGAGGCAAAATTATTCATTTGTTTATAGGGACAGCTGAAATAAAGCTAATATATAATAAAAAAATTTAATAACTCACTTATATAATCAGATTTACATAGCTAAGTTAAGTTTTATATTAATTGCTTATAGTAACTGAAAGATTTCAACATGCATTATAAAAATTCATATAACTAGACAGGATTGACCTTAGACAGTAAACATTTTATCAGTAGCAAACTTTGATGACTGTCGAACATCTGTGTTTGTATAACATTTAGTCACCAGCATCTTAACATTCGACATGAGACTAGTCAACTTCCAACAGTCACTTCTACCTCTGTCTTCAAAGGTTTACTCATCCCACAAGGTAATTCTATTGTCCAAGATGATGAGACTTTCCTGGTCTTCCTAGTGCTTTCTAATTAATGATTAGTGCAGACATTTTATTGACTTCCTATGCTATGACCTATAATTCTAATGAGGTTCTGAGATAAAAAAAGATATTCTTTCCACTGGTTTGTTTTATGGTAGTCCGTTTTGACTTAAGAACATAGTAACAGAAAGTGTAACATAGCTTGAAGTACTCCTGCTTATTTGGGAGGCCACACCTTTCCTTAGTCCCTGCCCTGCACTGTGTTGCTGCATAGAAATCTCTAACTTGGCATCGTCTAATACGAAAGCAGGAGGTTTTACTCTTTTCCTGGCCTTTGGCTCGTCACACACTCTCATAAATCCTGCTGTTTCCAATGGCACTAATAGGACCAGAAAAATTGTTTTCACTGAACAAAGCAAAGAAACAGATAAAATCTGGGTAGGTAAATTAGATTTTAAACACAAAGAGCAAAGACTACTGATATTTTTAGAATTTTAAGTGGATCAAGTTTAAAAGGCATAATGAGATTTTAAAAAATCGATGTGTAAATTTTCAAAAGGTTCACGTAAATGTGATAACACGACCAAGTGAAGTACAAAAGAAAATTTGTGCAATTCTGAGACGATTAACCAAAATTAAATATTTTTTCTTAGACATATAATTATTCTACTCAAAAACAGAAAGCAATTAAGTGAATTTCAATAAATATATACACACCTGTCAATTTCTGTAGCTGGTAATAGAGCAAATTAAAAGGACCTGTATATGGAATGGCTTGGGTTTGTTTTACAGTGCTCATGGCCAAGTCAGTATAATCTGAAGAGGAAAACAGAGTAAATACACTTTAAGAAACAATACCAGTCCCACAAAATACAATCTGCAAACACACCAGGAGTAAACAGAAGCAAACGTAAAGTAAATGAGGATATGTTTTCAAGCTAACATGCTCCCTAATTTGTGCCCATCCTACACTGACCCCTGCCCCGCTATCTACCGTGCACTAGTAACTTTATGCTCCAGCCATGAGGAAGCACCCTCACTCTCCTGAACACACCAGGTCCCCAAACGTCTCCAAGTCAGTAAGCCAGCTGTCCTCCCACAACTTTTCTGCTTGGCAACTCCTAACAACCCTTTGCCACATGCGACAAGTGCTGCCTGATTTGCAAAGCTTTTCCTACTCTTCTCGGCCCCTGTCTCCTCACATATTTATCATGCCCTTCTGTGTGTCACTGGTCAGTACTGTGATCAGCTCTTGACAAGGATGCTTCTCTCATTAATACAGCTTTTCCAGAGCTTGGGCTGTGTTTTTAAATAAATCTTTAGTCTTTTAGCACCTAGCACAGGACCTGGCACAGAGTAAGAACTCAATAACTGCTGAATAAAGGAACAAGTTATATTCTTGTTTCTGATGGCCTACCTTGCAGATGAATACCTACACACAGCTGCTATTTCTTATTCCTTCATTAAGCACTTCGAATTTACTATATAAAATCGATATAAATAAATAAAAGTGCTACATAAGTAAAATTGAGCAGTTATTCACTCGAAGATAATACCATATTTACCGCAAAAGTAGTGATGGGTTAGCATTTACACAGGCACAGAACACAAAGGCCCAGCGAGTGACACGAAACTACAGGTCATGAAAATCAAAGTGCTTGGGTGGGGAGTCCAACATTAACTTCAGAGAATAAAAGTATCAGTACTCCGTGTGAAAGGTAGGAAACAGGCTTATAAAGGGTCACCAGGAGTACAAGCTGCCTTAGAGGTAAATTTACGTCTCCAATGAAGAAGTTATTTCATAAAGAATTGAAATGTTTCACTAGTTCAAGGAAGATTCGCCCCCTCCCCCACCATAAAGCTAAGTGGATTAGTTTTCATCTATTTCTATGTTATTATTTGGTTGTTATTTAAAATGTGGCCAGTAGATAAGAGAAGTTTTCACAGATTTTTTTTCCAATGCTAAAATTAAATTATATATGACATTTCATAGTATACTTACTGGAGAGGTCACAAGGAGAAAGGATGTGATAGTTAAAGTTTCTTTTAACGAGTATTCCTGAGACCCGCTGGCCTTGTTCTGGTTTTTTGTCTGCTAAAAAGCCCATGACCTATTAAAAAAAAAATAATAACCCAAAACAACTTGAAGACAATAGAAACTTGTAAAGTCCAATTGATTCAGGGACTCAATCATAATGATGACCGTTAGACATTCGAACTAGGAAAACGACACATGAATTTAAACATGAAACACAGGAAATGTCACATACACCTATGACTCGGGCAATAACAAGCTATGAGACCAAAAGGAAGAGTCGCAGGGCAGATCTGGCAAGAATCTTTATGTTGATTCAGTTCCAATCAGTACAGCAAGCAAGTAAACCTACTAGAAGCTGGGGCTTCAGAAAGCTCTCGACAGCTCCAGTGGGAAGGACAGCAAGCGCCGGCCAGAAATGCACGTGCTCCCTCAGCCTGCTCCTCGACCTTGTACACAGAGGGAGCCCCTTACACACAGGTGCGCGTCCACGCTAGACTCGCGTCCACGCTAGACTCGCGTCCATGCTAGACTCGCGTCCATGCTAGACTCACGTCCACGCCAGACCCAAAGCAGCCTCTCTGAACACAGAGGTCGATAAAGGCAAGGAGAACCCACACAAGTGAGAGGCAGCTTTTTAAAACAGTAATGACTGTTCAAACCTAAGAAAAAACGAAAACTTTACAAACATGAAACCCAACATTCTTAAATATAACTTCTCTCAACTACAAATAAATGAACTCAGAGAGGACAAAGACCTCAAAGACAGTGCATTTCACACTTGCTTATCTTTAATCAAGTCAGGAAAAATGGCAGCCAGGCAGTGAGTACGTCTGTTCTTATAACTGTAACGGATTTCCTGGGGTTATTTTCTCCTTCAATGATGGAGATTTAAGGAAAAGGCTTTGCTACCAGGACACTGATTTGGCTACAGTGATGTCCTACGTGCTGACACGGTGGGAGAACTTGTCTGCCTGGGGAATAAAGGCGCTCAGAGGGCGGGACTGAGTGGTCAGTCTTCTGACTTGCCTTCTGCAGCTGGCGGCAGCCTCCCTCCTCGTCCACGTGTGTGCTCGTTTCCTATGAGCTGACTGGTTAACATATGCACAATTGGTTGGCCTGACATTTCTAGAAACTAAAGTATTATGGATTTTTGATAGTTCTTCGTGGATCTGATTTTCTTGACCTCCTTTGTTTCTGTTTTACATGGTTGAGGATGGTCCCCAAGAATCTGACTTTCCTCTAAGTAAGGTTACTGCGTTTGAGGGAAAAAAATAACTAAAGATCATTTTAAATAACCAAAATTATGGCTAAAAAAAGAGAACACTCCAATATGAAACTATGTGGGGAGCAGACAATGGTGTCTCTATGTATATACAAAGTTAAATATAACGACGACATATACTTAAAATTATGTTCTTAGTTCTACAGCCAAAAAAAATTTTTTTAAATGCTGCACACGACATTTCTTGAGGATTTATAATGCGCAACGGCCTAAGAAAATCTCTGGAAAGTCCTGCTATCAACTTAGCTTCACTCTGTTCGGCTAAGCTTCCCCTAAATTGTCTCACTGCAAAACTCTTCTTCTTCTCCTCACACTGCGACCAGCAGAGTCTGGGAAATTCAGCTCTAGATTCCCAACGAAACGTATTTCTCCACAGGTAGAAGGTCCGTTCCATTAAACTGGCCCCTGGAAAGCTCTGTGAACAGGAAGACTCAGGAGTAAATACTGCCATCTGCTCTTCTTTGGCAACAAAAACCACATTTCCTAACTTTTGCAAATTTCCTGCTCCCTCAAACTCAGCGCAAGAAAGGCTATTCGGCAATCGGCTCCCTCTGGCCGGCTCTTTACATATGAAGACTGCTGTGAAGCTGCTCGTTCACACGTGCCTGATGCTTAAAACCTCACATCGACCATTCCAGAGCTTCCCTTAGTGGTATCTTAAGAATTTCGAGAATAGGATAAAACTGCAGACTTCTTGCAGCATCTTTCTAAAATGCCAGGCAAGGTTTTTCTCAACTACTTCTTTTTTAAATTCTGAAAATATTATATTTCAGCATCAAAAATGATTAATCCTCAAAAAGACAAATTTTGATAAATTCCATCATATCCCGACATATACGCTTAGAGCTGTGGGCCTATTTAGATTCTGAGGGAGAATGATAGGAGGTGGACCGAATACTGTACTGGATATAGTAAAAAATCAGGTAAAACAGGGAAGGACATTTCTTTCCCCTTAGACATGAGAATAAAAAGTGAGGATGTGGATTAAAAAGCTATCAAATTCAACTGTATTAAGATATCATTTATTTGAAAATTTTCCATGTGAAAAATTGAGTTAGTAGAATCAGAAGCCTGAAAAGTATAAGAATAAAGTTCTTACACTACACTGAGTAGAAAGAAATCATCGTTAAACATATTACCTTGACGTGATAAAAAAAAATGATTGACTTTCTTAAAAAGTATACATTTCTCTGAAGAAAAGACATGAATAGGATTAGAAACCACAATCTTTACCTTGGCTAATTTTTCTCCTCTGAAGTTCAAGGTCACTGCTTCTGTATTCCGAGGATTGTGAACCTCTATGTGAACTTCATCATTATCTTCATATTCTCGAATCAGGGCTGCTTTCAATCTGGCCATTTCATTCTGTTCTCCATGGACTAAAATCTACATAGAATACATTTTAAAAGAGCACAGGGAAAGACCCTTAGTTTAGATCAATAATGGCTCTTATCTGAATTAGTTAAATATATCATATGGTGATACACTTGAAGTTATTACATCCCTACTTAAAAGGACCTCCAGTCATACTTGTATAGACATTTTCATTCTGTTTGGCTCTAAAAGATCCTTATGTGGAAATATTTCAAGAGAGAGTAAAGAAATTCCTATTCTACTCCAGTTTTTGCCACTAACAAGACACACGACTTTGTGGAAGCCAGACTTCCAAGGCTTCTATGCGCGCACTGGGCCAGGTGACTTTCCTGCCTGGGCTAACAGACACCTGTCCAGCATCACTAGCAGGCAGAGGCATCTGGGCCTAGCGGTGCAGAGCCCTGGCTCTGGGGCCTGGTGCTTTAACACAAATCCTGGCACTGCCACTTACTAGCTGTGTAACTCTGCGCAAGTTACCTAACATCTTTTCTCTCATCTACAGAACAGCTGTTGGTTGTGAGGAGTAAGCAAGCCGATACATATAAAACACTAGTACAGTGCCTGGCACATGCCGAATATCTAATAAATGCTAGCTATTGTTTACTGTTATCACCAACACTGTTATTTTATTGTGTAGATATGCTTTTGCTGGCTTGGTTATTAGAAGAAGGTAAGCATCAAATTCAATCCAGAAATTTAAACCGACAGCCCAGACAGTCTGGAGAGCGATGAGACTGGACTGAGGATGAGGTGGTGATTCCGGAGACAAAGGGCCATACAACCTTTCCACCACGGCCTTCAAATCCGGGAGGATATCAGTCAACCACAGACACTAGAAAACACCGAGGAGCTGCCTATGCTGCAACTTAGCTCGACAGGCTATGATGCTAACGAGTAGGTGAGCGATTTCTCCACCACGGCGTCTGTTCACTGAGGGCTGAATCCCTGTGAGGGCTCTCATGCCTGAAAGAACTAGAAACTGACAGGAGCACCCATAAAGATACACAACATCGTTCGTTAGTCGTCTGGAAAATGAAAATAAGAGCCACAACGAGGCAGCACTTCATGCTTACTAGAGGGCTGTAATTCAAATACTAGGGTGGCTGTAGTTTAAAAAAGGGAAATAACAGGTGGAGTTCTGGGGTACTGCTGGGGGGATGTGAAATGGTGCAGCCGCTGTGGAAAACAGTTTGGTGACTCCTTAAAGAGTTAAACACAGAATTACCACATGATCCGGCGATGCCAATCAAAGCTATGCACCCGGAAGAACAGAAAGCAGGGACTCAAACAGACACACAAAAGCCGACGTTCACTGCAGCACTATTCACAATAACCAAGACGTGGGCATGACCCGAGTGTCCATCAACAGATGAATAACCACAATGTGGTCTATACTTACAGTGGAATATTATTCAGCCACAGAAAGAAATGGAGTTCTGATACATGCTACAACACGGATGAACTTTAAAGATATTATGTTGAGTGGTGTATGATTTCACTTATATGAAATATCGACAATAGGCAAATTCACAGAGGCAGCAAGTAAACCAGAGGTCACCAGGGCCTGGGGGGAGGAGGGACTGGGGAACTATGGTTAATAAATAGTTTCTGTTGGAGCGATGAAAAAGTTTTGCAAACAGATAGTGGTGATGGCTGCACAACACTGTGGATATAATTAACACTACTATAGTGTGCACTTAAAAATTGTTAAAATTGCAAATCTTGTTTTATATATTTTACAATAAAGAAAAATTTAAAAAAAAAATCAACAAAATGCCATTTCCTCTAAACTACTTTTCAACACATTCAGAAAGGGTACTTCATCTGTTTTCTCCCCCTCCGCCCGGAACTTTGTCTCCAAGACCTGAGACTGAGAGCCACCAGTCAGTCAGACAAGTGTCATGGGAACTGCTGTCCCAGTGGAATGGAACCCGTCAGCCACTGCCCGAGTAACAGGTCACGAACAGTGCTCTCCGTCTGTTTGCTAAAGACACATGAACCATCAGTGTCCTTCTAATTAAAAAATATATATATGGGGGTGGCTCCATAGTGGTTAGTGGTTAGCCATAGTGGTTAGCCATCTGCTTTACACAAAGAAGGTCCTGGGTGTGTGCCCCAGGTGGAGCCACGGACCATACCCTGGGTGCGCCAGGCCCCGTGTGCACGCCGTGAGTGTGTGGGAGACGCCCTGCCTTCAGAGATCCAGTTCTTAAGGGGAAATGGCAACATCCATAGGTCAGGGGTGGAAGTGGGGGGTGGGAATTAAAGATGGGGGAAAAAAAAAATATATATATGTGTATGTGTGTGTGTGTCTGTGTGTGTGTGTGTGTATAAAATATTTATTTATTTATTCTAGCTTATCCCTCTGTCTAATCCCATCAAAATAAAATTACTTTCATAATTACTTGAAACTTAAAAATATGAAATCACATCAATAAGGAGCTATGTATTTCATACCTATCTGCACCTTTAACTCTTACCATAAATGACTTGTCTTTCTCTTTTCTCCACGTTATTAAACACCTACCACACGCCAGACACTGAATTTGTGCTTTAGCTATATGTTCTCATTTAGTCCTCACAACAACCCCAGAAGGTATTATCCCTACTTACAAATGAGGTAAGAGCAGTTCTGTAACTTGTCCATGATAACACAGCAAGTAAGGGATGGAGACTTCAGTACAGCCCCATTGTAAGGCCTGTGCTCTTAAGTTATTGGGGAGGGCATCAGAAAATAACAGAAAAGACAATGGAGTTTGGGCTGGTAGATCTGAACAGGTGACCCGTGTAAACGGAGAAATGATAGCACACAGCTTGCCTAACTCAAAGGGGAGCTATGAAGGTCAGGTCCAAGTGCAAGTGCAGGCATTGTGTTTAAAGTGCTACATTAGCAGAAGGTGGTGACTGATTTGAGAACCAGCTATGCAGTTTCATGGGTATACTTCTCCCCCAGCTTTAACAGTATAAGTAAAATTCATAAGACGAACCACATGAGGCGGTTTCAAAGCACGAATAAATTCACTGGTTTGCTGGTAATCTGTGTGAGCAGAGAAAGAAATGTAATCAACGGACATTTTCAGTGGTAACTTCTGTCCAGACATGGTAGTGATTTCTTCGGGTTCAGACATGATATGCTGTTAAAAACAAGAAAAATAATGAAACAAATAAACTATGCAATTACAAACGAAAAGGTACATTTTCTGCTTTTTCATGCAGCCCTGAACTCATGTTAAATTTAGGACCTGAAGCATAAAAATCATCCCAACATTGTTGACTTAGTAAATACCAAATACTTATTTTCTCTATCAAGCAGACATTAAATCTGAAAAGCAGATTAAGTAAAATTCAATATATTTAGTGCTAGAAGTAAAAAATTATAATTCTTATGGTTAGAAAGGCAAATCTGTATTCACAACTATTCTCTTGCTCTAAAAAGTCACCTTCCGATTAAGAAGATTTATATAAAAGACCGTGGTATTTCTATTCAGGAAGTCTATTTTAAATACATAACCAACTGTCTAAATGACTTAAAATAAGATAAAGTAATAAAGATGATCAAAACAGGCAATCATAATGCATTTAAAAAAATAACATATAGAAGTCTTCGATAAGAATAGATAAGAATAACGCGATGCTCGGATGTTCAGAATTTGCCCCTAAGGTTCTGCACATCAACGCCTACCTCCCAGAGGTATCAACCATTGTGTAGCAGCAGGAAGATGGGCAATTGGCCCAAACACAATCTACAGCTTTTCAAGAGACTACTTGTTAGCAGTCTCTTCTTCATCGGATGAGGGTTTCCACGTGTTCTTCTCAAATGGGTTCCTTTCCATTTTTACTGCAACTGGATAAGTGCTTCTCAGACTTGTGCTGACCAACCGCCTGTGGATCTGCCTGTGCGTTCAGCACCTGCTTTAATTCCTCCGCCTCATGAACAGCTCCAGCTACCTACTCCCATTCTCATTTTTAAACATTAAAACCTGTACAATTTAATGAAGTACCTCAATGAGAAACTGAGAATACAGCCGCCCCTGCAACTGTGACTAGAGGTAACACAACAGTCTAAGACTATGACTGACCTTGGCAAGTGTCCCTTCTACACAGTACCCTGCTATAATGACACCATTCCTCTTGTCAGTACACCAGCTTTCAAAGAGCTCTCTGGATAAGCCACTTTGCATCATGCCTGGGGAGGCCATTACGACACTGGGACCAATGTCATCAAAATGATCCATGCTCTGAGAGAGAACAAGGAAGAGTAAAAGCATGTTAAATACCAAAGTTTGACAAAGCTTTCCTTATTTTTAAAGAGTCACAAAAAGTGAGGTAGTAAAAATTGATCACACAACTGAAAGGGCCTTGATAAGACTAGTAAACACTTAGTCTAATTTCCAACTTCCTAAACAGTCCTGGCTAGGAATGCTATAAAGCGACAAAAAGCAGTTAGTTCACATTGACCTTGTACTGGTAGTCAGGGGACCATGAGGACCATTTTCAGTGCCCATTAATATTTCACGAAGGCAGAAATTAAAAGGAAGAGTCAAAAGGGCTTCTATCCATCCAAAATAGAACTCTGAATTTCCCCCAAAGACTCGCAATGGCTTTGCATACTTCGTGGTATTTCGAGCTGGCCTAGAAATCTAACCAGAAAATTTAACATTGTTTCTAGGGAAAACTTGGCTCAATTCCTAGGCAATTAACTTAAAAAATAATATTTTATGAACAGAGTCTATTTATAATTGGAAGACTATAACTTGAATTATTTTGGGCATTATTTTACTATGATTAGAGCATTAGTTTGAATGAAACGGTATTTTTAATTAAAGAAATCAGACTTTATTGACTGCTCTAGAAAAGTAAACATGAAAATTTTCATATAGAATTTGCAGTGCTAATCATCAAAGATGATTTGGTTTTCGAGTAAGAATAAAAAAACATAACAAGATATTCTTCTCATCAGGACTTATTTCTACGGCAAGGAGATTCAAGTTATTAGCAACCGTAAATACTGAGAATGTATGGAGACTGGGAAGAAGTGGCAAAACACACTTAAGCAAAGAAGAATGCCAGTTGGTAACTTTTTAATTTCTTTCAGAAAAGTGATGCCTGTTAGAGAAAAGGTAAGACCAGCAAGGATTCAGCCGCAGAACCAATGACAGGCATCTCCCGCTGCGACTTCCTCATGTTTCAGCCATCCTTCGTCCCTCTCCTGCAAACACTCACCTTGAGGTTACTTATATGTTTGAAAACAAAGGGATTATTGATGTTGATCTGTTTGCGGATTTTGTCATTCATGGCATTTACATATGTCTGGTACACTGCCATACACTTCTTGGCCAAAGATGATGCATAGTATATCGGAATATCATGGAGTTCTGGGTGATTCTGCCAGTACTCATCTAGAGAGATTTTACGAGAAACAAGTGTGATTTTATTATGTGGGGAAAATAGTTCAAATAACAGATGACACATATAATTTTTTTAAAATTCAGACAAGCAAGAAGTTAAAGCATACACCTATATTTTAAAGAGGTTGAGAAAAATTAACCTGGTCTTACAAATTTAAACTTATAAAACCAAAACTTATCTTTAAATACTTATACATGACCTAAAAAGAATGCTGTGACCATGGTCCTGAGATGTGGAAGCATTTAAAAATGATTCAGTAGAAGTTTACTCTGAATAGGAGACCATAACTTATTACCCCAGAGAGACACAGAATTCTGTGATGGTTTTAAATAGAAATGTATTATTAATATTTCAAATAGACTTATCGAAATTAGAGTTTTATAACAAGACTTGGCTAATTACAAAATAGGACTGCCAAATGAATTAAAACCTATTTTGAACACTTAAAAAAAAAATTACTCTGTGACTTTATTTTCTAAAAACTGCTAACCGGTTTCTGATAATCAAAATAGTGGGCAATATACTTTTGAAGGAAAGTTGATATTTAGAGAAACCCTCATTAAATCCCAAAATATTATAAGGGTAGTATGGCCAAACATATCATTTCTTCTACTAGGTGCACTTGTATTTAGGAAATGTATTAAAAGCCTATATGCAATTTACATTTATTATTTCTAATTTTCAAAACCACCTTATGAAAATTTATCTCCATTTTATAGACTATGAAACTTAAGGTAAAAAAAGGTTGAATGGTATGGGAATGTTATTTTTCTACCTGATCTACAAGTGAGAACTCTATATAAAGATAAGGACTTTTCCTATCATGATATTTCCTGCTTTGCCCTCTGGTTTATCTATTTATGCTTTGTTTGTTTAGATGTAACTAAAATTTTTAGTTGTGTCAAAGTTTTTATATATGTTCTTATTTCTCAAATACCTTGCAAAGTATACTACATCCCAACATCACATCACAATCGCTTACATTTTGTGTATTTTTATGAACAAATTTTAAATATTTTAAAAAACTCAAATAACTTGTCCAGGGTCAGTCATGTGGCTAGATCACAGATGAGATTTGAAACCAGTGATTCAAATGGCTATCCTCTTTCCATGTGACATTACGAGAAGACTCTAAGGGAAAAGGAGTGAGCGGCTGCACAGCGCAGCGCCGGTTCATAAAAGGGACCATACACTCTGATGGCAGGGCAGCCAGACAAAAGCACCGATAACAAAAAATTCTTATTGTAAGAAATTATATTAAATATCTGATACACTTATGTTAAAATGTTACTTATCATTTACCTGAAATTAAAATTTAACTGGTGTCTTGTTCTGTATTTTTTTTTTTTTTGCTAAATCTGGCAACCCCATTGATGGTGACAACACGGTTACATCTTCCTAATCTCCTCTGCTCAGATTACTTTGTTATGGAGAATTTCCATTTTAAGACTTCTAAGGACAAATGTAACTTGCAATTAGAAAGAAGGACCAAGTCAGGACCAAGAGAAAAATGGGCTGGATTAGCATTTAGAAAATTTACCTTCTACTGAGTCTTGTCTCTCTTACAGAGTTGCTTTTGATCTGAGGTTGGTCATTCCCCTTTCCTTATTTTCCTTTTCAGAGTAACAGGGATACTATTTATCCTTACCTCAGAGATGTAAGAACTGAGAGCAAGAGCTTAAGATGAGATCGATTCTAGTTCTTCACATGGAAGCTATATACATTCGAGGCACTTAGCATTTATTCAAGAGTGCGTTACCCCCCAAAAATCACAGAATGTTTGAGTTCGAAGAGATCATTAATACAAATACATGCAAAAAGTGACACTCACTGTTCTTATTACAAAAATTCATACACACTCATTGAAGTATTTGGAAAATTGAGAAAAGCAGAAAATGAAAAAGAAATCATCTACTTTCTCACTATCCAGCATTGTTATCTTTAGTCATTTGTGTAATTTTACCTAACTAGGATCAGAGTACATGCTGTTTTAAACCTTACTTTTTGGTCCACTTAATACATTTATGTGAAAATATATAACTACTCATCTATAACATGATTTTTTCTTACAATGTGATATTTACTGACATATTTCTTTAAAAATACTAAAATGATTATACCTTTACTGACAAAATTTTCTGTGCATTTCGTTTATTGCCAAGTGGAAACGCTGGGTCAAAAGGCAGCAAGTTTTTAAGATTTCTGATGCTGATGGCAACCAGAAAGGTACGCCTTTTATATTCCCAACAGCAGTGCACGAGAGTCGCTCTTTCTCTGAGCTCCTACTGGCACCAATCTGTATTTTTTAAATGCAGAACCTGAAGCCTGGAATGGCGACTGACCTATCTAATGCCATGTAATATCTGCTTGCTATACCGGCACTCCGAGATTTGAGACTCTCTTGAATGAAAAGGAAAAGGCATACCTAAGATCAAGAGCAGCTCCTGAGCCCTTCCAAGAGCAAAGACGGGAATGAGGCCTCTGCCCCCTCTGTTTACAATATCGTGAACCGTGTTACAGAATCTCGCTTCTCGCTCCTCACGCTTCTCATGGATGTGGGTCCCATAGGTTGACTCCTAAATGACACATCAGAAGTGTGAGAGCAGGACTGACAATTCCAAAGAACACAAAAGTGAAACATGAATGAAACGCAGAGGCAGCGTCATTCACTTCTCCATTAGCGTGCCGTTTACTTGAACACATGTTGTTATAATAATATCTGGAAAGAACGAATACGGACGTTGGAATTAAGACCTGGCTAAGTAGTAGGGATTTTTCAGAAAATGCAATCAAGAACAGTCTAAAAGTGTATCTTCCTTGCTCAAGATAATTTAGCTCTTTTTCTTTTTTATACCATTTTGCTTTCCATGATTGGGAAAAAGGATATTTCTCCCACTTTTGATAAGTCAAAGCTTCTGAATCAGAAACAGATACCATTTCTTACAGTTCCGTTAAGAATATCCCCTACACCCTTCGACGTGTGGTGCACTGACCAGCAGCCCTGGCATCCTGAGAGCTGACCAGATGTATGGCCCCTGAGGCCCCAGCCCCGACATACTCGGTCAGAACCTGCATTTTACGGGTGACACACAAGCACATTCGTGTTTGAGAAGTAGTGCTCTGAAGCTCCAGACAGGATGAAAATAACGATTTTTTTCTGAAGGCTAAAAAAAGTCTTCCTTTAATGTTGGCCTAAATGCTGGGTATACCATGAGCTGAGCCAAACTGAATTTGCTTACGACATGTTGCTGATGGACAACAATAAGCACTGGACCCTCATACCAGGGCAGGTGGGTGATGCTGTCGGTGATGAGGGAGAAGCAGACTTCCACCTTCAACCAAAGCTCTTCCACTGTGAACCAAATACCTGATGTTCTATATACACCGTGGACCCCAAAGACCTCTCTCCCAGTCCCTGACCTCACTATCACCAACACACATTTATTAATTTGCTCTTCACCAGCCCCTCGCCCCCAAAAGCTTCTGTATACTTAGGTTTTTCTGTTCTCCTGGGACTTGCAACCTAGCAGGCAGACAAGACACACAAATATAAGTCTGTAAGTGCTACAGGCCAAAGATAGTCACCACAGCAAAGGCAGTGGAGCCACATCATTTCTGTACGACCCGTAAGATGTTCTATGAATTTGGGGTAATTCACCTAGACAAAAATATTTAGGAGACAGCACATCCCTTCCGATATTAGACTGAGTTAATACATTTTAATAGCAAGAAAGTGGAGCTGCACTACAAAGAGAAGCCAAAAATTTAAAATTTTATACTAAAAAAGGATACATATTTATATCCAATAACATATTATAAAAATGAGATCACAATATTTTTTGCCACTAGAAAAAATTCGCTTACGTTATACTAATTATAATACAATGTAATAATACTTACAATGATAAGAATATCAGGTTTAATATTAGGAATTTCAGCTGCCATTAAGTGTCTATCTTCTTGTCTTGAGAAATCACCTGTATACAAAAGCTGTGGAAAAGATAAAGCTAGATTAGGATTTTGGAAGGTTCCAAATATACTAGTGAGTATATTTAGCTCATAAAATCCTAAAGTGAAGTTCAACAGAAAAACAGCCTACAACTAATGAAATTTAGATTCAATGCTTGTGTCTAATACAAAATGTGTAACTTCATTCCGTCATAGATCATCCAGTGTTTCAATTATTCAATCTAACTAATGGAAATAATATATTCCCAGAATCATCCCACAAAGACAATCGGTATATTAGTAAACTTGAGTTATTTTGAACATCTTAGAGAAACAGGGCATGATGAGGAAAAAATCTGAGGTATACAGGAAAACCATCCAAAATGGAAGATAAAATCATTGAAAGATATGCACCAAATTTCAAATGAGAATTTAGATGTGCATTTGTGCTATTTTCTGCTAATTTTTGTGCCTTTGAGAAAAGAGCAAGAATAAATGATTTAGTAATACATAGGGCAACTCAATATATAAAATTTCAAATACTATATGAGCAGCTGTTAAAAATTTACAACAATGTTACATTAGAGAACTGGTTCTCAACTATGGCTGCACATAAGAATCATCTTAAAAAAAAAAAAAAAAGGGCCAAGCCACAGATTTTGATTCAACGGGCACTTTTAAAAAGCTCCTTAATTGGTCCTATTGTGTAGCCAGAGTTAAGAGCTCTGTGCTAGAGTCAGTCTTGATACCTATTAGTCTGGGGGTCCCCAACTAGTATGGACCAATATGGGTCTGTGGCCTGTTAGGAACCGAGCCACATGACAGGAGGTGAGTGGTGGGTGAGTGCGTGAAGCTTCATCTATATTTGCAGCCGCTCCCCAGCGCCAGCATCACGGTCTCAGCTCCACCTCAGATCATCAGGCGTTAGATTATCACAGGAGCACCAGTCCTGGGTGCCAAAAAGGTTGGGGACTACTGTTTAGTGCACCTACATTTTCACAGGTTTATCGAGACTTCTGTTAGTGTTTTTCATTAAGGATGGCTGCAAAAATCCTTTCTGATGAACTCCTTTCACTTACGCGGGGGCTTATATGTGAAAGCTAGAACAGCAAGAGGATATGAATGACAAATCAGGTTTTAACGTTAAATCCATGCGACTTAATCAGTTTTCTGAAGGAGAATGAGGAGTTAGCACTATGGCAGTGTGAGGGAGCTTTACTCTCTGAGCTGCTTATTTTACTCTTTTCTCAATCTTGACACAAAGTATTATCGTGGGGTATGGATTCTGATATTTAAAAGGAAAAAGTATCGACCTGTTTATCTTATGTTTCAGTGTTTGGACATTTCACAAGTCTAACGCCTTCGTGGCATAAAGGTCTGCACTGATTTCTCATGGGCAGGAACTGCCAGAGCTAGAGGGTACCTTCACGCCTGCGATCTCGATCATGAACATGGCAGCTCCTAGAACGTGGCCCGCGTGGTAACACCAGAACTTGATTCCTGCAACTTCCTTAACTTCATGGAAATTGATGGTTTCAATTTTGTCCATGCTCTCTTCCAAATCTGTCTCAGTATATAGCATGTCATCCGCTGATATATTACTAAATTTTTAAAGATGCCAACAAAAAGAATTAAGGGTAAGATTTTTAAAAAAGTCTTTGAACTCAAAGAAATTGTCTGTGGATGCTATATGCATGAAGTTATTTCTTAAAATCATATTGTATGAATTATGCTATTTCTAATCTCTTGGACAGTTTCTGGACTTTTTTATTCTGCAATTATAATAAAAATTTAGTGCATATGGCAACAAAGCATGATTTTAAGTAAAGCACACAGTAAATTAAAGAAAACTGCTCTTTATGATAGTATTTCTCAAACTTTTTTCCTGCTCCAGCACTCCTGAGGGATAAACTCACTCACATACATTGAACCATGGCAGAGATTCTAACACCAGAATGTGAAAAGATTTCTCTACAAAGTGTAGCACAGTTTCCTCCTGGAAATTATACTAAGGTACTTCCAAAACAAGAGAGAGTAGTGGTGAAGGACAAAGACTCTGGGGCCAGATTGCTTGGGTCCAGATGTCAGCTTTGTCTCTTACTGTGACCATCGAAGGACACAGTAATTACCTAACTTCTCTGTGCCTCGGTTTCATCAGCTGTAAAATAAGATTCATAACAGGATCTACATCATGAGACTGATATGAAGAGTGAGTTAACATATGTTAAAAACTGAGGACTGTGCCTGTACCAGGTAAGCATCATTTAAGTGTTAACTGGGATAATCATTACTAAAGGTAACTCTCCCATCCTTTTGTATTTATACAGAAGAACAGCAAATGGCATCTTAACTACCTCTGGAATATACATATTAAATAGTGAACTTCTGAAGGTTAATAGCTTATGCTGCTAGTATCACAAAAAATGCTCTAAACTTTCTGATAAAAGAGTAGGTTTTCCTCTTGCAGCTGGAAAACACTTCCCCAGGGAACTTTTTCATTTAAAATAGTCAATTTGCTTTGATCATATAATCTAAAATAAGATTTCACTATATATCACTGTGTAATGTATTTGGTCTTAAATTTTAATGAAATTATAAAATTCCATTTATAGAATTTTATTACCATACCTTAAAACGTACCTAAATTACAAAGATTTAACAGGATGCTAAAACTAAAAAAAGACTTTAAGGCCAAGAAAGTCTTGGGTACACGATGGGTATCTGATGACTTGTTACTAAATGATGAAATTGATGAAATCCTTGTGAATGCAGAGTGTCTCATTTCAAAGCACAAAATAGCCCATATCTTGAACAATATGTATTGTGTAAAATCAAATGCATGTATAAATCTAATGTAATTTACCTAACTTTGACATAATCTGAAAGAAGCCATCTATAAATAGCTTTTGTGGCATGAGTCATGAACGTTCTTCCTTTGAAACTTGTCTTCTGGAGGAACCAGGGCAAAGCTCCACAGTGATCCAAATGGAAACTTAAAGAGAGAGAGAGATAGAGAGAGATTCTGTCAATTCTTAAAATGTTATCCATCATCTACCACATGTAATGCAACTGTTGCTGGCTGTACAGAAAAGTTACATGTAACCATTTCATGCTGATTCTTTCAGAACACCAAGGGCAGACACATGCAGAGGGAAGAAATAATGCAGCCAGTCCTGGCATAAGAAAAAAATAGTAAAAGTATTTTTAAATATCAAAATACTTTATCAGGGATAATCAGAGAGGAAAGTAGACTATACCCAAACACACTCTTGGCAGCCAGAATTGTAACAAGCACTTTAGCGGCATAAAGTTGAAACACCACTGTTTATAAACAAAGTTACTACAGAATGTGACAAGATAGTGACCTCGAGGAGATATTCTGGGAAAAGGCTTTCTTGGTCTAAAGTTTTACAGCGGTCCCAGGCATATGCTATCTTCTTCTCACTTACTCCAGAGGTAGGAAAGTAAGTGTCACAGTAAATTCCTCTAACCTGCGATGCAACATGGAGTGCTGGCTTAGCCTTACACGTCTGCAATATGCTTCCTAGTAGAAAATATGCTTTCGAAACACCCGAATCTTAAAAATTAGAAAAGAATGATTTTTATAGTAAAAGTCCATGAAAATCAGTCGTTAATAAAGAAAAAAACTTACTGACTAATTAGTAAAAGATCAATTTCAGCTGGGTCAATTAAATCAATGTAAGGAAGAGCATCCATTCCTTCCAGGCCAGGGTGGATCCCACAGTCCAACTGAAAGAGATAGAGAGATCACAATCCCCTACACATTTTATTAAAATTCATTCAATGAAAAGACAATTTAACTGATCCATCACATACATAATCAAGATAGACTCCATACACTGGTTTTTGGAATGCAATTCTTATTAAATGTGGGAAATATGCCAGTAACAATTCTAACTTCCCAAATGGATTTAAAACACAGCTCACACTTGGGGTTATGGGACACAAAATTCAAGACATCTTCTTTCCAATTAGTTTTTGTCTAACAATGAATGAACTCTTTTCAAGAACTCTGATATCAGTAGATGACGGTCATTAAAAAAGTTTATAGATTGACTACCAGATCTGACTATTCTCCCAAGACAAGGGTTAGAAATGGGAAACTTTCCTGATCAGGGCAATTTAAGTATTTTAAGGTATTAGGGAACAACTTGAGTCAGTCATTAATGAGTTATACAATCACTTGGGGGGGGCACTTCTATCAAATTATATGTTTCTACCAAATAAACACAACAAATGACTAAAAGGATGACCATGTCTGACATATACCTGTTCTTCCAAGACTGGGCGAAGGGAGAAATGGGGACCAGGGAAATGTGATGAGCCACAGGACTGCCCTTCTAATGAGGACCATAGGAACCACCTGTCTTTCAGACACACGGAAATGGGCTTAGAGCAGCAGACTGACTCGCCTGGGGCCAGTGGTCCTACTGATAACTCACGATGCCAAACTGGCTCTATCATCACATGCTGCGTGTGTGTGAATGAGGTGGGGTAGTCAGGCTGATTAGACCCTCCAAGAGTGGAAGAGGGCCTTGAAGAAGCAATAGCTCAGATCTGGTCGACAATTTTACAATCTTACAATATATTCTCCCAGTTTATTTAATGTTGTCAAATTACTAAGTAGAAGTTTGTATTAGTTCTTCGTATTAACGGTTTATAGCATAGACTACATATACCAACTATGACATTTTTCTGAGTAGAACAGATAACTGCTATACCAGAAATGACCTAACACCCAGTGCAGAGCCATACTGTTAACCTGACTACAAAATAATAATTACCATTATTTTTCTTCCTTTGAACTCCAGAATAATACATGATCTTCCAACTTCTTGCCCAGCTCCACTGTAAACAATCAAGGGGAGAAATAAAAATGATCAAAAAACAATCAAAATCAAGCCCAATAAATTCAAACTTTTTTACAACTTAAAGTATGCCCCATTTGATGACAGCACTCACTCGAGGCAGATGAGAATTCCACAAAAGTACCAAGACAGGGAAAGACAGTGTTGATGTGAGAGGAGGAGGTGGCCCTTGGGAGTTCAGGGATTCTGCAGTTGTGAGAGAAGGTGGTACCGATCCAAGAAACCGTAAGGTTAAATTTATTCAACCTTCTGAATGTTAGGGTTAAATTATGATGTACTGAACATGTAAACTAGCAGTGACGCAAATTACTTAACTTTGAGAATCAGCACTTAAGTATAAAGCCATAAGCACTTCAAAATTCTCACTGTAAGAGAGCAATATGCATTTACCTAATAGCTTAATTTTTCTTATTTATACCTGTGAATCGGTCCCTTTCCTTCTACTTTATCATCTCAGTATATCTGATGCCAAGCACGTAAACAATTTTCTTTTCTTCCGATATTAATAAATCAACCTTAATTTCCAAGTATCTCAGGATATACTTTAAGCTAAACCTCACCTGTGTTTTAAATTTCTCATCTTCTTTGATGCTTTTCCCCAATGAGCCTAGTCATGGTTCACTCATTCACTCAATATTAAGCAGGTCCCGTTTGCCAAACCCTGTATTAAGTGCCTAGAGTATGGGAATATCAAACGCCAGGACCCTGACCCCAAGGACCTCATAGTCCACTTACTAGGATGGATGTATTCTCAAACTGAGATCCTACCTTAGAGCAGGACGTCGATAATGAAAATCACACCGTGGTGCCACGATGAATTTCTGGCCTTCCACTTTAACTGGTCCTCTATGCAACCCCTTAACTGTCCCTAGCTCAGCTTTCTCTTACAGTTTCCGCAGCAACTATTTCAAACTTTTCCTCCTAAATTTCCCCTCTGTCCTCTTTATTTGAGGCATGGGCCTTCTCCACATCAAAAAAAAAATAGTTCATTTGTCAATTTCCTCAACTTCACTTACCAACCCACCCACATCTTTGTCTCCTTCCATTTCTCCCGTAACAACAGAACAGACCTCCGTCTAAGGCTAATCTTTCCCCCAGGGTTCTCCATCCCATACGCTCCCTCCTGAGGAACTGAACGAACACTGCCATAGCACCGATGTCACCCTCCCTACCACCAGAATTTTAGCATGCTATGGCCGTTCTCATCCTAAGATGAAAACCCCTTCATTCCGAGCTCCTTTAGTTCCCTCCACATTCCTTTCCCCAGGCTGCTTCCTAAGAGAGCTGTATACACTTGCTGCCTTTGTCTCACCTCTACTCACTCGCCATCTGGCTTTTACCAGCCACTCTTCCGAAACTGTCCTTGCAAAGCAGCTCTTTGCTGCCACATGCAGCCATCCCCAGGCCTTCTCTTGTTCTCCTGGCAGCCTGTCACCTCTTCTACTCACTTCTTCACTGGGCACTTCTACTTCACGAGCTCACCCTGTCCTGCTGGTTTTCCACCTCGGTCTCCTTCACACTCAGCTGCCTCTGCCTATTCTTCAAATGCTGATGTTCCACGGGTTCTCTCCCTGGCCCTCTTCAGTCTTCTCATGTTTTTGACATGCTGATGACTTCCAAGTCTGTTTGTAGCCCGGACTGTTCTTCGGAGTTCCAGACCTCTAATACACACCTGGCGTTATCTACTGGTGTTATCCACCCACTGCGATAGCTGACAGGCACTTTATATTCAGATATGCCGAACTAGTTTTCACCTAGAGGCCCTTACCCTTCCTGAATGCTCTGCCCTCAGATATGGACATGATTGGCTCCTTTGCATCATCTGGGTCTCATCCAATCGTCACCTTCTCAGAGGCCTTCTCTTGACTACCTCTTCTCACTTGTCCTTGACACCATTCTATCATTACACTGATAACTACATGAAGGAACTGCATCTACTGCTTTATGGCTCGTTTCTCACTGTTTAAATGACAGCTCTCTAAGAGCAGGAACATTGCCTATTTCATTCACTACTGCATAGCTACAGGGCCTGATATATAGTAAACCTCAAGATATTTATTGAATGAGTAAAAACTCCACAAATTGTGAACTTTGGAAACATTATGCTAAGTGAAAGAAGCCAGTCACAAAAGGTTACATGTTATAGGATCCCATTTCTATAAAATGTCCAGGACAGGCAAATCTGTAGAGATGGAAAGTAGATTAGTGGCTGCGAAGGACTAGGGGAGCTGGAGGGGAATGGGTATGACTGCTAACTGGGTACAGGGTTACTTTTTGGGATGATGAAAATGTTCTGGAGTCAGACAGTGGTGATGTGAATAAAAACCACTGAATTGTACACTTTAAATGAGTGACTTGTATGTGAATTAAATCTCAATATTGCCATTGTAAAACAACAGAACTCCTATATTTACTCCAGACCGCCTCATCTCTGGTATTTCCTGGGTGAATAACATGACCACTTACCCGTTGTCCCACCTAGGAATCCGAGTCGACCTAGCACTCCTCTCTGCCCTGCCTTCCCTCCCCACAACTGCCCCTTTCAATATATCTGATCCATTACAAAGTTGTAAAGATTTCACTTTCTCACTCTCAAACCTACTTCTTTCCAACCCACTGCTGCTCATTTCACTCACCTCAAGCTATTACTGCTTACACCTGGATTATTTTAATCACATCCTAGATTCCTTCCACTCTGCACGCCCCTTTATTCATCTGCTACACTGCTGCTGGGAGCAATCTTCAACCTTCCCAAAACATAATTTCCACTATATCCTTTGTTGGCTCCCTATAACTGACAAAAAAAGACCCAAACTCCTCCGTATGCACACAAAGTCCTTCATAAGACGGACCCTGATTGCCTCTCCCACTTCATCTGCTAATCTTTTAGTCACGGCCATAAGGAAGGTGGCTCCAAACTGTGACCAGTCTCATTTGCACATGTGCCACTTCCTCTGGCCAGAATGTCCTTGCTCCTGTACTTTCTATACTTTACCTGTCGCTAAGTCCTACTCATTCTTTAAGACTCGGCTCATGCATATTTTCCAGGACACATGAGATAGCATCCTCTTCTCCTCAATCTGCTACAAATCCCTTTTCCATACTCTCGTGACACTCAGCGCAATGCCTACCTGTTATGACAGTAGTGGCTTACTGAGCACCTACCTGCCTGATCTTTCCTCCTCACAATAACAGCTGCTGTATCATTTCCACATGAGGAAAACAAGTTCGGTGAGGTTGTTAACGTAGCAAGTTGATAAAAGAGAGACTTAATTTCAGGTCTGACTTCAAAGTAATGGTTTCCTATAATTCCAAACGACCTCTCCAGTACCTTTTCATTTTGCACAGCAATTCTCTCCAAAGGGGTGACTTCAGTTAACTTGGCCCTCTGCCTTATGTGTATCCCCAGTGCCTAGTGTGGTGCTTGACACTTGACACTGCTGAATAGACAAAGAGATGAGAGGTGTGAACTAAGCAGCGAGAAACTTGTGTTGTGTCTCCAGTAGGTGCTCAATGAGTCACTGAGTATGTGTAAAGGAGATACTAACTTTTGAAAAACGCGCATTCATGTTGTGCTAATATCCAACCATAAATGTGTGTGGATTCAAACTGCTTATTTATAGAGTAAGTTCTCCACATTTACATTTCTCTTTCTAAGCAGCATCCCTCCGGTAGACGGCCATCTCCACTGACAGGCCTGCCTTCCCATGGACGACCAGGGGCTGAGTAACTGTCCTTAGGATTCTGAGTCTCCTCCTCTCTAACTCTCTAACTTCCTTATTCTGCTACAGTCTGAGCTCAAAACGGAACTCATAACTTACTGCCTCTCATATCGTGGCAAATGTCAAGTCCTGGAGTTCATAAGAAACAGATTTAGTTCTGTCTCGCACTGCTACAGCCTTATCCAGGTTCTCATCACACCCTGCCGTCGGCGACATCACCGGTTCCCTCAGCGTTAGCCACTCTTTAGCGTGTGTGAAAGCGCCCAGCGGCCCCACAGACCTCTCCCCGACCCCTGCCCTCCCAACTCCAGTATCATCTTCTTCCCTGAGACTAATGAAAAAGCGAAATCCCGTTCAACCTATTCACAGTTCTCCAAACCCGTCCAGCTGGAGAAGCCGGGCCCACAACTGCGGACCAAGGGCAGGCTGCCGAGGCATGGTCCAGTGGACTGAGGCAGCAACCATCGTTACCCGCCTCGCCCTCACAGCCAGCGGCTTCATTCCCTCTCGCCGGTCCCTTACAGGGGTCGGATCAGCAGCTGGTCACTCTCCTCTGCAGGAATCGCAGACATCTCGGAAGTCTGAAGGCGAAGCACAGGTGAGGAACAGGTCACGGGTGTCTTTCTAAATTAAAAGCAAATCCATCAGGAACCAAAGGAAGAAGGCCATCCACCACGAGCACTATTTCCGGCGCTCCCGCGCCCGCGACATTAGGCTCCTCCCCTCGACTTCCGGTCGGAGAACCCGGCTCGCGAGGTTCCTTCCTACGCGGAGTCCGACTACCCAGGCGGGGTCAGGAATGCGCCTGCGCGACATCTCGGGGCGGGGCCGGGGCCGGAGGGCGGGGCTAGCGGGCCGGAAAAGCTGGCGCTGGAATTAGAACGGGAGTGGCTTCCCCCGCGCGGGCTGCGGGGGCGGTGGGTGTCTGACCCCGGCCGCAGGCGACCCCGGGGATGGGCCAGCCGCTGTGAGGTGAGTGCCCGGCCCCGGCCGCAGCTGGGCTGAGCCTGTCCAGGAATGCGGGCCCCGAGGGCGGCACCGGCTGGGAGGCCCGCGGTGGGGCGGATGGGTGGGGCCGCGGGCGCCGCGGTCTCCACGGGGACCCGCCCTCCCGAGGTCGGAAACCCGGGCCCCAAGGCTGCGCCTAACGGGCGGTGAGAGCCGAGGAGCAGGCCGAGGCCTGCGGGAGGATGCAGTTCCCCGAGTGCCCGATTCCTGTCCGGGCTGGGATGCAGCTCCGGTGACGACGGTGTCGTGTGTGGATGGCTCCCGTCTGAAGGGCGACGGGAGCGGGAACACCGCGGGGCTGCTTCCCCTGTCCGACTCTATTTTGTGGGTTAGTGAGGAGCACTCAGTTTTCGTGCTGGCTCCTGTTGGTTTCTCCAGGGCTTCAGACCCCAGCTTACACTACACGTAGCAGAGGTTGTGTCTGTTTTGTTTACTGTCACCCTGCGCACCTGCGCGTGGCAGGCACAACACAACAGTGAGGATACTTGGGAAGCCGGGTGAGGTCTGGAAAGAGCTTTGGAGCCAGGTCTGTCTAGGTTCCAAACTTGGCCCCGTCTATTATTAGCCTGGTAGCCTTGGTGGGACGCTTTGGCTGCCACATTGAAAGGGGCCGTAATAGTGCAACCTTGCCTGTCAAAGGTATATGGAGCACCTTGCACTGGGCGGCACATGGTAGATGTTCAGATGTTCAGGAGTTGTTTTTTGGATGTCATCTCCCAAGAAAGTTCTCCAGTTCATTAAGCATGTCCTCTGCCAGGCTGTGCCAGGCATTGGGTAGACAGAGACCAGTATCCCACCCGCACTAGGAGCTCACAGTTGAGAGTACATATGTAGACAGTAGTAGACTAATGCCCTGAACGTTGGTGTCCTCAAGTTGTGGAGGGAGCATCCCTTAACCCAAACTGGAGGTCCAAGGGAGGCTTTCTAGAAGAGAAGCTTGAACTGAGTCTTGAAAGGTGAGTAAAAGATGGGAGAACATTCCAGCAGAAGGAATGGTGGGGGCAAAGCATGGAGACGTGGAGCAGAGGGATGTTAAGGACCTGGAGCAGCTCTGCATTCCTTAGAGAATAATTGTGAAGCCCTTGTGGAAGATGAGACTGGAGAGGTAGGTAGAGCCTCTTACGGAGAACCTTGCGTGTCCTGGTGAAGAGCTTTGACTCCTATCTCTGATTTTTTGGATCCACTGGAAAATTTTAAGCATCAGATTTGCGTTTAAAAGAAATTTTAGCTGGAGCTTGGTGGTAGATTTAAAGTGGCAAGGAGTCAGTCAGGCTGGGACGTGAATTCCTGAAAATTGCACACCACACCTTGTGCATTTTTATGGGTTGTGGGTCTACCACTTCCATCAGATAATGTACTTATATACAGCAATGGTCTAGTGATGATGTGGGGCCCCTTTAGAGACAAAGATGAGGATAAAACGAGACCGTTGAGGTGGTGTATTCAGTGGATCTTGGCACTTGCGTGGATTTGGGGCCTGGACTTTCATCAGGTCCATCGTTTTCCAGAAAAGAATTGACCATGTCAGCATGAAAGGAAATTATGTGTGCAGACTGTCTGTGGAACCTTTGAAGACGATAAAATAGTATTCATCCCATCGTAAGCAGATTCCCTTGTTTCCTCTGTAGAATCCGATCTTTGGTAAAAATCTATTATGTTGTCTTACTCATAAATCTTCTTGAAAAATGGGTCATAGTTCCCTCATCTATCAAACGCAGATTATCATCTGCCTTCTGGAAGCTTCTTGAGGGTGGGGGCCTAGACCCCCGAGCATAGTATTTGGTACAGAAGAGACCCTTAGAAAAAATCTGGAAAAAACGAATGTGTCACCAGGTTGCTGTGAGGATACACTGAGACAATGTGTTTGGAAATACTAGAACAATGAAACGTTATGCAGGCTAGTTAATAATTTCCCAAGTATAATAGAGGTGTTCCCATAAACAGGCAAGGATGACTCTTGTTTCCAAGGCATTAATTATTACTTTAAAAAAGATGTATGTAAGACCGACTCTGGGAAACTTAAGATAGCCTCCTCCGCTGGCTTTGCTGCAGTGAGGAGGTCAGTGCTAGCACCTAGCGGCTTTTACCTAAAGATGGTTCAGGACTTCGAGAAAAATGCACATTTCTGGGAGGTATGTACATCTTCTATAATAAGCCGTACCATTTTCAGAATGTGAACCCTAGATAGTAACTGAATCTCAGTGTCTTGAACCGATTAAAGAGAAGGCGCTGGAATATCTCGAGAACTAGATGACATGTTATCTGTCACTTCTGAGAACAAGGCTTTTTACACCTCTAGTTACGATAAGCTTTCTCCCCTTTTGGTTCCTTGGGTTAGATTTTTATAATTTAAAAAGAATGAAAAAAAGAATAGCATCCAAATTTTGTGGTCAGTGAAAAGTATTTGTAAGTAAGAGGAATATACCATGGACGTGGAAGACATTGGTGACTTTTTATTCTTGTTATGCATAAAGTGATTTAAAGTTGCTTTTCTGGGTGTAACTAAACAGCATTTCCTTTTCTAGGGGAGCCCCTCTGGATCAAGCTATGCTGAAAAATGTTCCGGAAAGGCAAAAAACGGCACAGTAGTAGCAGTTCCCAAAGCAGTGAAATCAGTACTAAGAGCAAGGTAGGGGGCTGGAATTGGGCCCAGAGTCGTAAAGCAGTGAGAATTGCCTTTCCTCTGACACTGCATGCGGGATACTAACCATGGCAGACCTGCTGCTAGTCTTCAAACTAGGTGTGTTTTTAACATGCATTTTTTGCACTAGAGACACATTCTGTGCTTGATTCAATTTTATTTTGTTTTGGTAGTTTTTCCGAAATTCTTAAATCCACTAACCTGAGTAGGACAGGACCTATAACCGGTCTCATTGAAACAAACACTGATTTTGAAATTTTTTACGTGATGGAAATTGCATGCAATTAAGGGGCTGAATCACTTGAATTCTAGGGTTTGTGGTGTACGTGCCTAAGTGATTCTCACTAACATGTACGATGCTTTGTGTTTTGCTTAAGTTTCGTTGGTTTTTCTTTGCAATTCACATAGTTACACCCCGCCAGTCAGCTTGTTTATTGCTGCGGGCCAGGTACTAGTTGGAGTAATTGCAGAAGCACTGGAATGGAGATCAGGAGATCTAGATTAGAGATCTGGGGTGTTTACTAGGTATAACCTTGGGTAAATCACTTCACCTCTCTGTCTCTGTGCTCATTTATTAAACAGATAATGCTCCCTGCCTGCTTTGTGCACAGGGTTCTTTTTGGGTTCAGTGGAGATAACGTGAAAATAAGGTGTAGATTTTCACATCTAAGTATCTGGTTTCTTATCAGGAGACAGAGGTACTGCCTTTGATTCAGACTGGGAATGCTGGCATCGCATTTCTACAACTCTGTCATATGGGAAAAGCAGTTGGGGTTAAATGTATTGATTCAACTCTAGTTAAGTAGTTGAATGTTTGGCAGAGAACTTGAGGGAGGATAGCACTTGATTTGTTTGTTATTTTGCAGTCTGTGGACTCCAGCCTTGGGGGCCTCTCTCGATCCAGCACTGTGGCCAGCCTGGACACAGAGTCCACCAAAAGCTCAGGTACGGAGGCGGGCGGGCTCGTTTGTCGCCGAAGGCCTTTGCTGATGCTCATGTAGTTTTACCAGGTGCTCAGGCCCTTGTGTGTTTGGGTTTTCTCTCTCCTCTGCCTTTTGACCAGAGTTTAGAAATGGCTGCAGATCTGGTGGAACGTGGGTTGGCGGTGTGGAGAGGCTGGTGAAACCCATTTCCTTGGAGGTTGGCATGTGGGCAAAGCACTCTTAATGGGTCCTAGAGCAAAAACATGCAGAAAACATCGTAGTAACAATTTAGAAGTTTCAAAATAGCTTTTTAAGAAATGGGGTGGCAGAGCATGAATTATACTGGACTCATTGTTGATGGAGTATAGGACAGATGTCTTGCTGATATAAAGGATTAGGGGCCATTTACCCAGATACAGCAGGTCGTAAACATCAGGAGCGCATGGCATTAAGGGTGGCATCTGTCACAGACACTTGAAAACATTTACACAGCCACCCAAATGAGTAGCTGTTTAGAAATTAAAAGGTGGCTCTAACCCACCTATCAGCCAGTGTCTGATTGGAAATACAGTGTATTCATTTCCTTGTCTAAAATGCCTCCACTGTTCCTGTAGGGTCACAGACTAGTCAGTCTGTAAAGGTAATGCGGCGGGGCAGAGAAGGAAGCACGTGATGTAAAAGAGAAGCTAGTGGGCGTAAGGTCTATTATCTCACCTTCAGATGCCTTTAAAATATTAAAAATGCGGCTGGGCATCTTTATATTACATAAACATCACCTAAATGTCATCCCATAGTATCTCCCTGCTGCGGTAGATACTGTCAGTACTTTGTGGTGACTTTGGGTTGTATTGGCTGGGTTTTATAGCTCACACAGCTCTTCTGCCTGTTACCCTGTTATGCGAAGGGACTTCCTGTCCAATACTGTTCCAAACTGTCCAGTGTTTTCTGGGTGACCAGTAGAGGTAGGTCAGGTTTCCTGAATCAGAAAAGTTAAATGTCAACATGGTTAACGACGGGGAAGAAACCAAAAACTAATTAAGTATCATTACGCATGATAAAGGTGCTCCATCATTAGTTGGCAATTTAATTTTGTTTTGAAATGAAGCACAGTAATGCTTGATTTATTCCTAGTTTTATATTTAGCATATTCTGAGTCACTGAGGAAAAGGTTAGTGAAATTTTAAGTTCTTTTCAATTACATCAAAACATTTTCTATTTTAGAAGATTTTATTTTTGTTACAGGTTAAGTTCTGATGACAGTCTGTTTCCTATTTGGAAAGGGACTGAGGACACCCTGTAATGCAGCCATTTCTTTTGAAGCCTTGCTATCACAATTTTCCTTTTACCTTTAGGACAAAGCAACAGTAATTCAGATACCTGTGCAGAATTTCGAATAAAGTATGTTGGTGCCATTGAGAAGCTGAAACTCTCTGAGGGAAAAAATCTTGAAGGGCCACTAGACCTGATAAATTACATAGATGTTGCTCAGGTAAAAAAAAAAAAGCTCAGTTGCATGAGATTCTAGAGTGTAAACTCACAGCCGAGGAGAAAGCTGTGCTCCCCCGAGGAGAATGCTGTGCTCCCCCGGGTCTGTCTCGTCTTGAAGCCATGCTTTTCTCCCCCGCCGTGGCCGTGGGGGGCGCAGGCGCCGTGGGGATGAGTTGTACTGGAAAGGCATGGCTCCCTCCTTCAGACAGCACTTTTACTTCTGGGCCTGACCGCCCTGTTAGCCTGAGAAGCTGTGTAGAGACCGCTCACACACCATAGGCTGGTCCTTAAATACAAGTCTGGCAAAGCCCACTGTGTCTCCGCTGAACGACTTTTAGCTCTTGGAATAATTGGCTTCTGGCAGTGTTGACTTAAGATGCCTTTTATTCATACTATTTCCAATAGGAATTGAGGTGAAGTGGGTTTCAGAAGCATCTGGGTCAAGGAGACAGAACGTGGGATTGCATGTTCATTCACGAAGGGATGTGACGACTGTGGGAGGTGGCCCTTACCAGTTCACAGAGTGTGGGTCACTCTAAGGGAATATGATCTCATGGATGAGAATAAGATCATGGAGTACCAGAGAACTCTTGGTGGTCAGGGCTAAAACAATTAGTATTCCAGCATTTAGTCTGGAATCTAAGGTCATTCCAACAATGTGCAAGCAACAACTAATCTAAGCATACGGTATTATACTGAAAGATTGCTAACGTTTCCCCCACCCCAAGTCCATTAGGGTTCTTTTCATTCTCATAAGGACAGCTACACTTCTCCTAACGCCATAGAATTTGGCCTTGTCAAATTTACTGACAATACCATTACTATTATTCTGTCTTTTGATCCTTGGAATTGCTTTAAACTGTGAGAAGGACGTGGTTCCATAGTGTAGCGGTTAGCACGTCTGCTTTACATGCAGAAGGTCCTGGGTTCATGCCCCAGTGGAGCCATGGTCCAGGGTCTATGGCCTGCCACCCTGAACAAGCCCAATGTCTGATCTCAGGAGCTAAGCAAGGTCAGGCCTGGTTAGTACTTGGATGGGAGACCACCTAGGAAGACCAGGTGCTGTAGGCATAAATAATAATAACAATTAAATAAATAAAAATAAACTGTGAGAAATGATTGGCAAGAGGTTCCTACGGCATCATGAGGACCTGGAATTAGGTGGACGTAGCATGTTTACTGTAATCTCGTTAATGTAGGCAGCGTTCCCACAAAAACAGTTATGGTATGGAACGTCTACTGATTGCCAGCAGTCTTTAAAAGACAGGTTAGGCGGTATTCTGACGTAGGGGACAGAGCCGGGTAATCCGCAGAGCCGGGTAATCCGCCGGGGATCATCGGGTGTCACCATCGGTTGTCAGCAGTTTGACTTGTTTCTGAATAGCTCAAAATGCTGAATGGTAGTTTGAGAGCAGAGTGGCCACTCGTCGAGCAGCTGACTCACCCAAAGCGCTGGGCTGTGGGGAGACCAGTCATATCCAACACCTGGGTGCCACGGAAAATGGCTGAGAAAATGGTTCCTGTGCCGAGTCCTGATGTTTCACGTGTTGACATTAGTATAACCTTTGAGTATGTGAAGACCTTTATTTTTCCAATGTAAATATTTTAACTTCACTGGGATCTATGAGAAGTATCTGTTTGTAATTAGGGTTAATCCCAAAGGGATGGAACAGTACATCTGTTCTGTTGATCTGCATTTTGCTCAGATTTGTTGATTGTAAAAATAAAAATAAGGGAAAATTTTTCTGCCTCTTTTGGAGATAAATTCTTGCTAAGCTAATGTTTGCTACATTCTTTAAAGGGTTTGTGATAGCCAGATATTAAAATTTGACTAGACTTAATATAACAATTTTTGAATGTATGTCATGTAATTTTTATTTTAAAGCAAGATGGAAAGTTGCCTTTTGTTCCTCTGGAGGAAGAGTTTATTATGGGAGTTTCCAAGTATGGTATAAAAGTATCAACGTCAGATCAGTATGTAAGTAACTTAATTTATTAAGAAGAAAATGTTTTCGGTATTGGGGAATTAAGGGCCCACCTGCAATTAGGTCTGTTCCTGTTTGCAGAGCAGTGGGTTTGTAAACATTCCTGGCAGCTGGACTTAGAAGGGACCTATTTCTTAGGGTGGGAGAAATGGGAGCGTCCCTTTGCTTCTCCTGTGTGGTCGGGCCCACGCCAGTGCCCCACTGCTGGCCCAGTGCATTTCAGCTTAGGGATCCCAACGCCAGTTCAGAGCAGCTGCCAGCTTGGAAGCTGGGCATGGGGAACGGGGTCATGAACTGAGATTATCTAGTGAGCATACTAGAATATCCCTTTGGGTGACGACCTGTAAAACTACTTTCTCCCAGATGCACAGATACACTGTCTAAAGCCTCACAATAAATCTGCATGGGAAAATCTCATCAGAATGGAGAAACACCTATATGAGCCATGATCTTTCTCTTCCTGACCTCTGCAGGACGTTTTACATCGGCATGCTCTGTATTTAATCATCCGGATGGTGTGTTACGATGATGGTCTGGGGGCAGGAAAAAGCTTATTGGCTCTGAAGACCACAGATGCCAGCAATGAAGAGTACAGCCTGTGGGTTTATCAGTGCAGCAGCCTGGTGAGCTGTCATGGTCCCTTAGATAGGGTCTCATTTATCAGACAGAGTGGCAAAACCAGGGACCAATTATAGTCTTTTCAAAGGCTGAAGAGATGCTGTCCACTCTGTATCTAACACCTGGCGTAGTACGATGGCTGAGGAGCGGGCCCAAGGCCAGCCAGCTGTCCAGACCCACTGCAGGTTGGGGGCTGTTGGCTGGGCCAGGGCAGCACTCGCATGTGTCAGAGTCAGAGGTTTGGGGTAGACACAAAGCGGGTGAGGGAGAGTGCTGTGTCCTCCAGGGGCAGAGGCACCCTGCTCCTCTGTACATCGTCGTCCTTACTGACTTGTGATGGTCCTCCCAAAAGGCCACAGTCCTGTGTGCTGCCCACCCGCAGTCCTCCAGAGGGAGCAGGAAGCACGGGGACAGGTGTGACCCAGGCAGGCTGTGTTGCGGGCCTTTCGGAACTGGTGATGTGTAGGGCCAGAGATGTTAAGAGGGTCAGATTTCTCTCTCTGGTCAAGTTAAGTTCAGGAAGAGAGTCATGAACTCTTACTGTACCTTTTCATTTCATGTAGGAGCAAGCGCAAGCAATCTGCAAAGTTTTATCCACCGCCTTTGACTCTGTATTGACATCTGAGAAGTCCTAAATTCTACAGTCAAGTGGAAGTCGACCTCACGTGACACCTGTTTTCTGTAGTTTTCAATTTGCAACGTTGAACTATTATGAAAATATGAAGTGATCCCTTGCTCTAGATTTTCTGAAGAAAATACAATGTATAAAACATCAATCATTTGTTTTTCTATTAAAATGTGTCTTATTAATAATGAGTTAACTTTCAATGAACTTATCTACCTATTGAGACTAAAAAAGAAACCTCACTTGTCACTTTTAAACACAAGATTAACCCCCTTAAGTGTCACAGAAGCGTTCTCAGTAATAAGCAGTGAGACCTCTGAGGAAGACTAATGGAGTCCGCTCCGTAGCACTTCCTGGTGACATGGTCTCTCTGGCTCCGAGTTCTAGTCAGGCAGAGCTCTGGCCTGGGGACCGCCGGGTCATGCTGGTTTGAAACAGTGACACCCCCAACTCAAGACACAGGAGAACTTTGAGGATAACAAGCTGGTAAACCACAATATCTATCAGCATTAAGAGAACCTTAAAAGATGGCTGCTCATGTTACAACTGATAGTATTTAAAGAATCTCAAGTACAGTAGGCTAGTGTATTTTTTAAAGGACTTTTTAACAATGCTTCGAGGATTAAAAACATTAAAAATAAAACCATGTCCATTTAAAAGTACTTTATTTTTTTCTAGTCAAATGACTAGTTAACGAGAGTAAATTTAATTAACATGCTCTAATTATAAATCACTGCATGAAGGACAATGAAAATAACTGATTTGGGTTATACAATATATACAGTTGAGCTGCAACTAGACCAAAGTAATCACGTAAGTGAATTGAGTATCATACATCTCAAATAGCATTCCAAGCTGCATGTTGCGTTACCCACGCCTAACAGATCACGCAGTTACCATCACCCTGTGCACATAGTTGAGTCATCCCTAGAAGTCAGATCTGATGGAAGTGGCACACCAAATGCCAGAATCCCGCAGCTAAGTTCATGAAACGTAAACCTGAAATATAAATAGATATCTACAGTGTTTTCTTTCCTCTCAGTTGCTTTTTTTTCTTTTAATTTGCAAAGAGCAAATAACTAGGAAAGGATATTAGTAGGGAAGTTAATATAATTTCTCCTCTGGCAAGAGTCATATTAATTACTGCACAATAGCACCACCAAATTGTAGACTGGAAAAATATTTCCTAGATATTTATGTACCAGTGAACCTGATAGGTTTGTCTGGGAGTGGGGTTCAAATGTTGATATGAATCAACTTTAATTCCTTATACAGCTGGCACCAAGAAGTCAAAAGACTGATTATAAGATACAGATGGGGGGGCGGGGGGAGGGACTGTGTTAAAATATACATAATAAGTGCACTGTGCCAAATACATCTGTTTACTTTCTTAAACCTATGAGAGAATTAACTAAATGAAGGGTTCAGAAACAAATTAACCATTAGTGAAAATAGATGTAGTGCTTAAAAAAAGACTTTAATTACAGATTTTTACCCGGAACTTTGAAAGGCAAAAAGCAGTTGCCATACAACATCGTAAAACATTCCAGTTTGTTCTGTCTTCCTTTATAATAGCAACAAAAAATACAATGCAATTAAAAAAAACAAAAACTCTATACTTACAAGAGTCTTGCATAATAAAGACAGGCTGCTTCAATCAAATGTACCATCATAGCAAATGCAATAAAAGCATCACCACCTTGCTTTCCAAGCCTATACTTATTTATTCCTTTACTTTTGGTCAAAATCCAAGTGGGCATTAAATGCCTATTCTCAAAGAGTGCCAAAATTTCTAATATTCCTCCTATGAACTTAGGCTCACAATGACTAAATAGAGGTATGACGGTCAAGTTCATTAAACTAATGAATTCTGATTGTATCATACACAACCTATTCCCCCCAGCCCCGTTAGCTTAAGAATGGTAAGATGGGGCATCAACCATAAAACGGGTCTCCTGGAGTATCTCATTACCTGGGACCTACAGATTTCTGCTATGCTCTTGATGACAAACAAATGGACAGATTAAATTTCAAAACAGTGTTACTACCATTACTGCTGGTATATTATATAAATACAAGACACTAAGCTGAGTAAACATTCTCATGAGCTAGGAAGGGAGGGCAGTGTGACACTCAGGAAACAGGAAGTAGGTGGTCATACAGCAGGGTCTGTGCCGTGGTACTCTACCTGTGAGGCAAACTCCAAAAACACCTAAAGCATATCAATGAGTTTAAATAACTGTTTTGCAATCCATCATCCTTAGTTTTTAACCAAATTCAGGAAATGCAGTTTTATATCACCTGGAACTGAATTATCTGCTATTATCGTCTGCCCTAACAAACTATTGGCAGTTTTGTTAAGTAGGATTGCTCACAATAGGTTACACATACATGCAGAATACAGTGAGAGCTGCAACCTCACAAATTAGTTGGAAAGTACAACGCGAATGTGTACATTTCCAAGTTGCTTTAAGTAAACACTGGGTGGATTTCAAAGGAAATCTCGAACAATATCTAAAAAAAAGTCTGTCATGGCGAACCGATAGCATTTTGTCTAGAAAGTCCAGGCTGGCAACAGTTTACTAACTTCCTAAAACAGTAATTATGCTAAAGGTCACCGACTTCGAAAATGGGCCAAGGGAAGCAGGAAGAATTCCTTCCAATACTCAAATGTTTTTAGGGTCAACTAATTCTATAGACTCAGGATCTTGATTATGTAGTTAAAACGACTTTTCAGTTCACCTTTTAGGAAATTCAGTTTTTCCTAACAAAAGTATAGCAATGTTTTATGAAAATCAAAAATTATAAAAACAATTTATAAATTGCCTTTGAGTTTTAAAAACAGAACAGTGGCATTTGAGAAAGTGAGCTACCGTACAATTCGTGAAACTGATTCTCTGGCGAGAGTTTGGGTACCAATAACGAAACAGGAACATCATAACTGTTAAGTGTTTTTGCTCGGTAGCAGTTTAGTCGGCAATAAAGTGCACAAAAGATACAGGAAATGCTCCTTTGCGACTGGGATCTCCATCGATGTGGCCGATCTGAAATGAGTAAGAGTTCAGGTTACAAAAATTCCAAGTGTTGGAAACTTTGTAGGGTGTTGTAGCATTTGGAGAAAAAAAGTGGTTCAGAAGAATCTCTTGAGAAAGAAACCACTTGGGTGGCACGTCTAAACTGTTTTTCCTTTTCTCTCTCACTCACGTATCAAACAGCGTGAGCCTACGATCCGTAAGGAACGCCCACAGGAGGGGTGTCAGGTGTCTGCACAGACGCAGCTGGCCTCTGAGTCCTGGCAGTCTTGGGGCACACAGGACAGCTACCTGACCACCACCACCCCTGCCCTTTTTTTTTTAATGGATGAAGAAACTGAGTGTCAGAAGTTTGTGAGCTGCAAAGTCACAGAAAGTGGCAAAGGTGACTTGGCCCCATTTAATTGTAGTCAAGCATTTAGAGCACCTCAATAAATCCATTTAATTTTGCTCTGAGTAAACTATATAAGTCATACATCAAGTATGATCTCAACAAATTATGCAGGTAAATAAAGTCTAAAAGAAAATCTCCAAAATATAAATTTTTTTGGGGGGGGAGGGGAGGGTTGAGATTATGGGTAGCGTTTACTTTCTTCTTTATACCTTTCTATTTTTCCACTGGTTTGAAAAGTACAGGTGTTTTCCAGATGCCTAAGCCTTTTGTCAGGCAGGTGCCCCATCCTTACGGTGGGTCGTATACGAGTGTGAGAGCCAGACCTGCTGCAGGTGTCGAGGCGTGCGGGCAGTCGGGGTGCGGGGAGGAAGAGTTTAGGTCCTCACGGATCCTCAGTCCTCACCCAGCCAGCCACGCAGCAGGTCGGTGAGCAGAGGCCCAGCGAGCCTGCCAGCACCTGGGAGCCAGGAGCAGTGGCCTTTGCTGCCCGTGCTGTGTGTAGCAAAGCAGACGGAGGAGGGAGCACTGGACCAACAGACACTTTAATCTCCCAAGGAGAAGAGACCATGAGAGGACACCGGAAACCTGCCGTGCCAGAGGCAGTGGTGACAGGCCCTGAGTTCACAAAGGCCCTGGAGGCCGGGAACTTGCAGCCCACACAGGTGGGAGCTTTCCTGGTGATGGCGACTAACAAGCCCCACCGCTGACAAGGTCCTGTTTGCACCATCGCAACTGCCATAAACTACCTGTATCTCCGCTCAGGCCGCAGAGCGGGTCCTTGGTGTCTACTGTGCGCAGATGCTGCCAGATGCTCTGCGTATACACTTCTGCAAGTGACTTACGCCTACTGTCCTCATTTTATAATGGCCGCCTGTCCCTGGGGGCCTGCTGTATAATCTCTGCCCCAGGGCATGGTGACCTCCCTTTCACAGACAGGGTGGCTTAGGCTTAGTGACATAAGCAACTTGCCCAAGTCACCTAGCCTGTAGGTACTGAGTCTGGGTTCTTAGGGTCACCAGGGGAAGCTCCACGTTCACCCTGTTCCGGCTCCCACCTGGACACCACTGAGCATTTCAGGACCAACACTGACACCAGGGATTCTGCCCTTGGGCTCAGCCCCCCGTACTTGCTGCGCCCCACCAAACTGGCATGCACAAGCAGTGGCGGGGTTGGGGGGCGGCTAGAACTCGGGCCTCATTTCAGACCCTCGAGCATGCTCTGGAAACTGCAGCCCAAGGGGCCTGCCAACCCTAATAAGAGAGGACCCCGCTGCAGGGACCAATCAGGCCCCCTCGGAAGTGGAAGTTCATGTAAGAGATATCTGGGGCCAGCAAGGGGCACAGTGGCCGGCAGCCTGAGGACGCCCGGGCAGGGAGGGCGCACCTGGGGAGAGACCCCTCAGGCCAGGTGTGCAGAGACCCAGCCCCCCTCCCCAGGCCGGACCCCAACTCACCCACCACTCTTGGTCCTCCTCCCCGTCCACGATGATCACGTCGCCCTCGGAGAACGTCAGCTCGTCTGGGTTGTCGGCCACGCAGTTGTACAGCGCCTTGACCCGCTTCGGCTTCAGCCTGGTCTGCGGGAGGGGAGGAGGGGTCAGAGGTTAGCGTGGCCGGGAGGCGAGGCCCATGGGCAGAGAACTGGGCCCAGGGGCCCTGACCACAGGGGCAGGGAGTTTTGGGAGGGGCCAGAAAAGGAAAGGAAGATATCCCAGCCTTGGAGAGCGGGGAACATGGCGGCTGGAGTCTGGTGTGCACAAGGCGTCAGTCCTGGAGCTGTGGAGAGAGGGCCAAGCCCACCTGCTGGAAGCTCTGGTGTCGCATCCTGCCAGATCAGTCCTGGGTACAGGAAGAGGCCACTCCACTCCCTAACCAGGGGAAGAGGGAAGATCTGCTTCCTCTGAGCCCTTGGGGAATAGGCGGCAGAGAGCTTATATGGCCAGAGCAAAGAGGCAGGACGAGGAGGGTTCATCCACTTACTGTCTGTGACTTCCTGGGCATGGGCGCGGGGGGCTGCACGGCCGCGGTGTTGGACAGAGGACCCAGAGCTTCTGTTCCAGAGAGATCCACTGCTTTAGGACCAAAATGAATCAACTCACAATATGCCCCTTCAGTCATAACCGTGAGACACAAACGATTAATACAAAAGCCATAGTATCAGGTCTGAAAGGCAAGTTTCCTAAGATTTTCTCACCTGTTGAGGGACAAGTCCCTCAAAGGCCAAAGAATCTGTGACTTCCATGTAACCTCTGTAGAGTGCACAGGTGTCACACAGTGAGACAGATGTGACCAGTTCCTGCAGACTTCTAGATCCCCAGGGGACTCTGTACCGCCCCACCCCCATCAGCAGAAGGGGACAGGGCTGTAGGTCCCAGAGCAGGGCGGCCCCAGGAGCAGGAGCATCAGAGGCTCTGCCGCGGGGAGGACGGCTGGCCCTGCACAGGGCTGCCGCACTGGGCTGGAAACGCCTCCCACTTTGCCTCCATGAAACAAGCAGAAACAGAGCCCAGTCCCAAATGAAACAATTACCAGGTCCTCTCGGCTGGCCTTTGTTGACCAGTGGGGTCGTCTTGTCCATCCTACAAAGAAGGGAGAATAGATTTGCTGAAACCTGAGGCCTGAGAAGCATGTCACCTGCCCCTCCTCACCCCCTTTCATAAAGGAACCGGCTGTGTTCAAGCTGAAATTGGGTGTTGATTTTATCACTGTTATTCAACTACCTCTTTTTATTTTCAGAAAAAGGAAGAGTGGCAGGCCCAGAGGACAGTGTCAGATCCAGGTCCTGACCCTCAAACCAGGCTCCTCCCAAGGGCTCCTGTCCATGCTGGCCTGTGGGCCATGACCCAGCACGGGGCTGGAAGCTGGCACCTGCCACCAGCTCTACCCCAATTTGCTCAGTCCCTTTCCCTCGATGGACTCAGAGGGCAGGGCTGAATCAGCTCTAGGGCCCTGAGGGCTCTGCCAGGACCTGTCCAGGAACCACAGGTCGGTACCATCCAAGCCTCTGTGCTGTGGTCCCTACTGTCTGTAACTGATGTGGCTGACTGGTTCAGGCCCTGCTCGTGAGTCTCCGGGCCCAGCATGTCCCAAGCCCTGGGTAGAAACACACAGGTAAGGGAGGCGGTCCTCAGGGCCGGCACGCAGGGGTCTGTGAACTCAGACTTGCCATCTAGAGGGCCTGGGTAAGAGGGTTTCCCTGGGTTGGCGTTTTCATCTGCAAAATGTGTGACAGCAGTTCTGTCAATTCTCAAAATAAGGACGAGTGACAGAATGTCTGTGATGGGCCAAGAGAGGAGCACGACCCCAAGTTCCCTGCTGCGACTTACTGCACCCAGCACTAGCCAGGCACACACCCGGGGCCTGCATGGGACGGGAAGGGGCTGGAGGGCAGAGGACGGGGAGAAGGCAGGGACGAAGGCGTCCCATCGCAGTCCACTTCCGGAGGAACGCAGTCCACTTCCGGAGGAGGAATGCAGTTCACTTCCGGAGGAACGCTTCCTTGGCTGCCCAGCCCGGGGCCTCTGTCCCAGTCTCAGAGAGACGGGGAGGAAACGCGACACTGACTTTGCTCACATTTCCAAGGAACTACTGAACTGACCCCTGAAGGCCTCGCCAATCTGACCAGTCCCGTCGTCTGATTCCTGCCAGTGTCGAGACAGAGCTCATCACGCTGACTCTGCTGGTCCCCGCGCCTCTGGCTAACGACGAAACGCTCACGGGGGAGGCCTGAGCCTCTAAGATGCTACTTGGCAAACTTCTCCTTTAAAGCGCCGGAGTAAACTCGTTAGGCCTTGCAGGTAGTGAGGTCTCTGCCACTATTCCACGCTGCCCTCGAAGCGTGAGCGTGTGACAGATGATGTGTGAGCAGATGGGCGTGGCTGCGTTCTAACAACACCTGACTTAACGGGCACTGAAATCTGAATTTTATACCCTCGTTATGTGTCGTGAAATATTCTTTTTGTTGCTGCAATCATTTAAATCTATAAAAACCATTCTTAGCTCACCAGCTGTGCAGAGCAGGTGGCTGCCTCTGGCCCTGCAGGCGTAGTCTGCCGATTCCTGCTCTAGGAGAACCAAAGTGAAAACCCAGATTCGTCCCCCGGATAACACTAGGGAATGGGGTGTATCCCTTTAAAAACGACTCAGACAGATCCAGCTGGGAGGCCCTCGAGCATCACCTGCTTTGCTGCCGCCTCGCCTTTCCCTTCGGTCCAATGAGATGAGAGAACACCGTTCCATGGAACAGGTAAGACCAAGAAAGGCTGCGCCAGAGGCGACTCATGCAGTGACCCTGGGGAGAGGCCTCCGAGCAATGGAAAGAATGTGCCCGGGGCCTCGCACCTGGCGGCCAACACCCCGGTCCTCAGAGCTCCCCGCTGACCGCTGGCAGCGGGCCGCGTCCCGCCTAGAAGTTCGACACATGATTTGGTCTCTTAAAGAGCAGCAGTTCAGAGAGCGCGACTCTGAGCCGAAAGCCGAAGAGAGGCACAGACCCCAACACAGAAACTGAGGAAGCACGGCCTGTGGCCGTTTTCCGGGCACCTGAGCGCACGCCCCTCGTGGCACCGCTCGGTAGCCGGTGAGATCCCACACACGCTGGCCGAGAACAGGAGGGCAAGGGTACACAGGTTGCGTTTCAGAGCGAGCTTGCAAAGCAGCACTTAACAAGTCCCGAGAGTCTTCTGATTAAAACCAGCAGACTGAAACATTCACTTCCACTTTCTCCCAAGAAAAAGAATCTAAAAAAAAAAAAAACTAAACCAATAAGAGGAGAACTGGAGAGGAAACCCAGTTCTGGAAGCTGAGCATGGCGGGAGGAGTCACGAGCAGGCCGGGCACCTGACCACTCCCGTGTGTGCTGTCCAGCACTGCCCCCCAAAGCCTCCCCAACTTCTGGGGTTGGGGGAGCGGGGCAACAAACAGGATCAGCCAAAATCCGCTTCCAGAGCGACCGAGTCCCTGGGTGCCTAGCGACTGCCCTCGCCTACCCCGCTGAAGACCAGAAGCTTCTACTCTTGGAGAAGGTGGACTAGAGCAGAGGCTCTGGACTCGGGGATGCCCGGTGCAGTTGTTGGGAGTATCTGAGAGACAGAGGGACTGAGTAAAGGTCTAACTTCATTTCTACATTCGACTCCAAGAAAATCTGCTCTCTTCAGGCCAGAAGAGACTGGAAGGCTATTCTCTAAGGAACAGGAAAAAAGATCCCAATTCAGGGTCCCCGATAAAACGGCCAGCAAGGTCAAACCATGGCGAAACCCACCTTGGCAGCTCTGCGCACTGGGGTGCAGTCTGTCAGTGAGTATTTAACGCCCCCTCAAGTGGCCAGCTCACAGGCAAGGGACACAGGATTTACAGGCACAAACTTCTAACAGGACAGAAGCCAAAACAAAGAGAAATGAACATGGAAGAGACAAATAGTGCAAGAAAAAAGCTAAAAAAATAAAAAAAACACCCCCAAAACCCATCATTAATCGTCTCAGATGAAAGAAAACGATCCCGTGACACAAACAGGATACTATTAACTTGAAAATTATATGACAGAAGAAACGAAAAACTCAATCAAAAACCTGTAAGATCGAGAAAATCTCCCAGAAAGTCGATTTAAAAAGCAAGCAAGCAAACAACACAGAAACGGACACCAGAAGGCGGCAGGGAGTGGGCCCGAGGCATGAAGCAGCTGCCCAGTTGGGCTGCACGTCCAGCCCCGGCCTCTAGGTGGGGCTATGGACGGGCTCTGGTCAAAGGAGCGTGAGCACCTCTCCAGCCACTGACGTTAGCACGCCTTCCTGGTCTTTCCTTCCCTTCAGAAGTAACCTTGGGCCCAGGGGACAAAGATGGTGGCGTGAGAAGCAGAAGGGGTCTAGGTCTCTGACTCACTCCTTGGGACCGCCGTACAAGCAGGAATACATACACAACCTCATGCGGGCAAGAAGTCAACTTCCATACGTTCAGCCACTGGGATTCAGGGGTGGGCCGTTAGAGCAGTTAGCTTAGCCCAATAAAAAAGAAAAGATGAATACGTGAAGGCCAAGGAGCTCTGACATCTGAATGGCAATCATATTGAAAGAACAGAAAAAAATAGAAAGCATTAAAAAAAATCAATGAAATTTCTCAGAACTGAAGGATGGAATTTACATCTCGCCAGTTTACATGTCATCATCTACCTGATGACACAGACGAAAATGGACCGGCCCGGGAGTGCCAGAGCCCGAGCAGGGACAGGAGGCATCCATGAAGGGGAGACCTGTCAGAGGGGTGCCTGAGGGGCACCAGGAAGGCATCAGGCCCGGATAGGGGAACCGGGGGTGGCCTGGCGGGGAGGGGGAGCCTCCATGTGGGGCCCCAGCTCTCAGCAGGGAGAGGAAGCTTCTGCACAGAGGGGAGGTGGAGGCAGAGATGGGAGCCCTGTTTCACAGATGCTGATCAACCAGGTAACCTGGGAGCCAGATCTCATCATGGGGAAAGGGAGTCACAAGTACCGCAAGGGCGGGAATCAGAATACATCCTGAGGAGCTTTAAAACATGGCCCCCAAATTCTTTACAGAGAGCAGTAGTCTAGACCCCACCCCGCTGCCCGCGTCCTGACCTGCTGCCCTGCCTCCACCCCAACCTGACCGAGTCTGGGCTCCGCCGCTGCCTGGCTAGGAACACGTGGTGGAAGCAACGCCCTGTGTGGTTTCCAAGGCCAGGCCTGTGTCCTGGGACTTGCTCTTGGGCCCAGTCACCATGATGTGAGGAAACCCTAGTCACATGGCGAGCCATGCACGTGTGAGTGCTTCAGCCAGCGGCCCCGGTGGGTTTCCAGCCGCCAGCCACGTGGCGTGGAGAGGCCGCCGTGATGCTGGCCTCCGGCGTTCGCCTCTTCCACTAAGGGCCCAGATACGTTCAGCAAAGACGAGCTAACCCCACTGCGCCAACCCAAAGCCCCGAGTGTCTGTGAGCATAACACGGTTGTGACTTGTGTCAGTTGTGGTGTGGTTTCTTACTAGAACCAAAACTGGAGACAGTGTGAACTCATGGATTTCAACGTAGGCAGAGCTAGAAACGTGGCAGTGAAGCTGTCCACATGTCCACACGTGCATGAACGTGTACGTGTGTGTGCGCGCACACGTGTGCACACCCAGTTCGCACCACTCACACACTGGCCTGGGAGTGGTGATGTCCCCACAGCAATGAGCACGCGAAAAAGGCACCCTGACCTTGGCTTCTAAACATCGTTTCCACTGAAAGGAACCATTTTCCACTGCAAGGACCCAGAACGAGAGCCATGAACTGGGCTCTTTGCCGGAAGGAACGTATCTGGATGAGCAGTGGACCTTGAGTGGAGTCTGAGGGCTGGAAGGCAGTGGCGTGCCCACATGGCCCCTGGTTTTGCTGGCTGCGTTGTGTTCGTGTAGAACACCCTCGTTCACAGGAAACGCGGGCCCCACACCACAGAGGGTGCCGGCGTCAACGCCACCTTGTGTGCAAGCGACGAAGAGAACCTAGAGACCTCACCTCCTGAAGACTTTAACTCCCCGCAGCCCAGTGTCTGTACCAAACAGAAATCCAAATTCAATGCGTGGAGATAGGATCCACATTCGTACAAAACTGACACAATTTAAAGATTCTTGATAAATTTTGAAGACACTAGAAACCTGATGAAACCAAGTTATGTGTCACTTGACCTCAGATGTTACAGCAGTAGAGACACTGGAGATTTCAAATGTTTGCACAGCAACTTGGGCAGGTGACCACTTGGAAGCTCCTTGAATGCAAGAAGCAAGGAGCCTTGCGGCCAGCCCTGAGGGGGCGAGGCGGGGAGGGGAGGTGGTTACCCCGGAGCAGGCCTCTTCTGCGGGAGGCGGCTGGGTGGCTGCGGGGGCAGAGGCGGGGGCGTGGCCTTGCTCAGCGGGACCCCAGGCTGCGCAGGCTTGCTCTGCTGACTCAGGGCTTCGATCACGCTGGGCGTTTTTGCTGCTGGAGGGGGCGGCGTGGGACCCAGAGGATCTGTGGAGAGAGAGGCAGAGGGTCAGACTCAGGCGTCACACTCCCAGCCTTCCCACCAGAGGCTCCTCCGACGAGGCGCCTTCTCCCTATCGCTGCTCTGTGAGGAGAAGCCCTCGCTTCCCCGCAGGCTTCCGGTGAACGGTAGTGGCGGGGAGCCCTTCCACGCCTCAGTTGGGGAGAGAATGCTTCTGTGAGCCTCAGTATTTTCTCAGCTGGAACTCAAGATGGAGCCGCCAAGACCATTCTGCTCCCGACCCTGGGACCTGGAGCACAACCCAGGCGGCTGGGGCCTGGCTGGCACCGGTCCTGCCCGGAGGAGCCGGGCCTTCCTGGGACAATTCTTTCTGCCCCCGTGGACCCAGGGGCCGCCCCCTTCCCCTGGGCTGCACGCGGGTCAATCTGAGGAAAGGCTGTGAAGAACTCACTCTCTGTGGGCCGAGAGGGGGCGGGGCCACGTGGCGGTCCCCTGCACTTTGCAGACCCGGAGGCTCGGGCTCAGAGGGGGCCCGCTTTCGCTGAGGGTCACGGAGCTGGTGAGGCGGCACTGTGCCCTGAGCCCACGTGTGCCCACTCCCCTCGCTGGCAGATGTGAGTGCTGGTCCCCGAGCGGCCAGCGTTCTCCCCCACCCTTGGGCGGCACCCTGCCTCAGGACAGAGGCGGACACCTACGAGTCAGCGGCTCCTCTCTCCCAGACAGCCAGGGAGGCGGAGGAGGGAAGGGTTTAGAGTCTGCCTTTCTTCTTCGTTTTCACTCCTATTTCCTTCTACTGCTTTAAAGTCAAAAGACAGACGAGCATGCAAATCCACCCCCACCCACAAGAAGGCCAGACCGAGAGGCAGAAAGGTGGGCTTCTGGGACCTTCCAGGTGACCCCTTGCTGTCTGAGCTGGACGACCCCCGCCCCACTCCCAGCCTCTGGAAGACCCTCCCAGACACAGCCCCTGCTCTGCGGGCAGCCACATACCCATGGCACTTTCTGCTGCTGGGCTGGGCTCCTTTTATCTGTGAGGTTAAGGAAGGCAGGAAAAAACTAGGGGCAGGGGAGCCCCTCCCTCCCACAGAGCAGGCAGGAGAGGGCAGCTCCAGGGCTGGCCTCACAGGCCAGAAGGCACGCCCGCTCTGCGCTCTGAGCTGGAGGGGAACCACCCCTGGCGTGGCCCCTAGGTCCTGGGACTCTCGCTCTCGTGTGAAGAGAAACGTTATAATCCCGAAGACTGTGCCCAATGTGAGAACCACATGGCCAGAGGAAAGGAAACCCTGAGCTAGCCTGAAAGAAGGACGTGCTGCTGAAATGTGTGGGGGCTCAGAGAGGGGCGTGAGTGAGCCCCTCCTGGGTGCCAGACAGGGCTTGGCAGCGGGGGAGGCGGGGGCTGGAGGGGCCGGGGGCGGAAGAGCCACGGCCCTCCACGCAGCGCCGGGCACCGGGCAGCGCCTGCGCCCTGGGCGTGGGGCTCCAGGGAGCTGTCTCCCCACACGGCTGCAGAAGGCTCCCCCTGGCCATCCAGATCCACAAAGCCCACTGGCGAGAAAGGAAAAGAAAAACGTACTGGTCGATGTCACGCGGAGAGGGGGCAGCGGTGGGTGGACGGCTGGCGGATCTGACGAAGACCGCTGCCTGCTTACACCGTCCACACTTACAGAGTTTGTCTTCCACAGGGCGTTAGCGGAGGAGGAGGCTGTCTGAACTGCACACGCATGCACACGCACGCACACGCGCATGCGGGCAGGCGCACACGCACACACACAACAAAAACAGAAACAGAACACTGCATTATTGATCCTCTCCCTGATAAAACGATAGAGATGGCCCTTCTAGAACAGCATTAAGGCCACAGAGAGAACGCTGGTTTTTTAAAATCCCTGTCTCTGGTATCTGGAAGACAGATACCGATGCACCAAATGAATGATGCGTCCGGGAAAATTCCCAGCTGCTTTTCCCGGTCTTACTGATTTTATTTCTCAGATGCAATTGCTGGTTTGGAGAGGAACATGCGTAACCACAAAGGTGCGCCCTGAGCACCACACTCAGGTTACAGAACGGGGGCTTGTCTCCCATCCCTTAGGTTCCCCACCGACCCCCCGGCCTGTGGGGGTCACGGCACAAGGAGAGAAGGGTACGAGCCAAAGACACCAGGTGAAGGGGTCTTCTCTCCCACCTCTTGCAAACGTATTTCTGGCTAGAAATGGACACAGATGACACCAAGCAGCTCAGGTGACACCGCGGGGAGACGGTGCTGTCACGGTCACATCCCTTCCTCTGCCCCACAAAGCTCGGTGCTCTTCCTCATTGAGCGGCACCTGCTCAGGTGCACAGGGCCACCTGTGTCTGTGGCTGCACAGGGAACACAGGGCGGGGCCCGGAGAGGAAACGGGCCCCACGCGCAGGGCAAGGCCCCACATGCAGAGGGAGCCTTCGCACGTCTGCCATGGACAACACCTGCCCGGTGTGGGCATGACAGCATCAACACCCTTTTCTGGTTGCTGTTTGGGGACTCCACATTGGACCCAGTGTGGACGGGACAAAGGACGAGGAGATCTTCCAGGGACTAGCAGGGGTGAAGTGCAATCTATATCATACAAGGAAGAAATGAAGGTAAACTAACCACAGGAATCACAAAAATAAATGAAAAGACAGAAATCCTCTCATTCTGACGTTAGAAAAGCAAGAAATAAAGATGAACAGCTTTCCGTTCCTTTTACATGAGCCAACACAGCAAACTACGTTTCCCCACAGGACACAGAGTCAGCAGGAGCCTCTACTGGGGTGGAGATGGCCGCATCATTTCAGCTCGTCTTACACATCGCGGGAGAAGGCAGTGAGGTGTCCCCACAGGGGCCCAAGCTCAGCTGTTGCCATCACCTGCCAGAACCCAGAGAGGGTGACAGGGAGGACGATGCAGCTGTGAGACGTGATTTTGCAGCTTCCTTCCTGCTCAGGGACCTCCCCACCGAGCCAGGGTGCGGACACTGCCTGGGATGCAGGCGCCAGGGTGCTGGGTGCCGTGTGGGTGCTGGGCTCTGCTGGGGAGGGGAGCAGGCGGGGTTCCAGGTGCCTGCCTGGCGCAGACCCCACTTTCCTCTCTGTGGGTCTGCTCCTGAGGGGTGACTCAATGCCCCGGGCAATAGGCTCCTTGGCCTCTCTGGACCGCCCCGAGCTGTGTGGGAGGGTCGAGTGTGTGTGTGGGGCAGCCACACGCGCACTCAGATGCAGCAGGCAATAGGCTCCTTGGCCTCTCTGGACCGCCCCGCGCTGTGTGGGAGGGTCGAGATACCCAGGACAGTGTGTGTGTGGGGCAGCCACACGCGCACACAGATGCAGTAGGATGGTGCGTGCCACACTCACTCCTCAGCCCAGGCCACCGACACCCAGCCACGCTCCTCTCCCAGAGAGCAGCCACTGCACTAACGCAATCGGGGGCTTGTTTTGTGACCGCCTGTAGCCCACGGCAGCCATGGTGCTTGGAAGTCACGCCCCACGGAGGCGCCTGTCCCTCCTTCCCGTGGGAAGCCCTCCGAGGGCCCTGGCTGAACCTGCCTCGGGAGCAGCGTGGCCAGTCCCACTTCACTGCCAGGCAAATACTTAACTTCAGGGGATTCGCTTTCCATTTTTGTGAAAACACAAAGCAGTACCCGTTGAGCCCAACTCACGATGTTGTGACAGTGACCAAGGGCAGTGGCTTTGGCACATCAGGTATGGCGGCCACAGGGACTATTCTGCACTTTTACAGTTAGCCTGAGCGTTGTCCCCGAGTTAGCATCTTTTTATCCTTCATTTCATGGGGACCACGGAGATGAGAAATAACCACAGGGGCCACTGGCTGGCCGAGCACAGGCCGGGGAAATAAAGCAAAGAAGAGGGAAGGCAGAGGGAGGGGTCGTGAGGGGTGAAAAGCAAGAGAGAAAAGGACCAGAAAGAGGGTCTGCGGGCAGAGAGCTGATGGACCGGACCGGCGTCAGGAGCTGGCCCACCCGCCTCGGGCCTGCCCTGGTGGGACCCCGTGCTCCCCAAGTCACGCAGACGCCACACCTCTGCCCAGAACGAGCAGCAAGTCAAGACACTACCGCCACCGGCACCCTAGGAACGATGGAGTTCTTTTAGGAAGCGAACGACAGACTAGGGAACAAAAGGCCTCGAAGAAAACCACCGTCCCGATGCTGCCCAGGTGTCACCTGGTTGGGTGTAAAGCAACTACAAATGTCCCAAAGCCAAACCCCAAGCCGTGCAGCGGCAGGGCTGCCAGCAGGTCGTACCTTTGGCAACGTTCCGCGGGGGGAGGGGCGGGGCGCTGGTGGTGCTGGGGACTGCGGTCTGGCTGGGTGGCGGGCTGCCACTCAGGATGGCTCCATACGTCTCGTTCTGCAAGATGCTGGGCACGAAGCTCCTCTGCTTGTCCTTGACCAGGCCGGTGGCATCTCTGGCCAAAGACGCAGCGTTGGACTGCAGCTGGTTGGAGCCCAGCTGGTAGAAGCTGACGGGCCGGTCTTCTCGCCGACTGGGACTGGGCTGCAGAGGGGTGGCGGGCAGGTGTGTGAAACGCAGACACAGTGACCTCGTGGTCACAGTGTTCGATCTACTGGTGACGACCTCATGCACACCAACCACTTCCATTTGGGCACGGTGCGTTCCGACTCTCGACTATTACATAAGAGCTGCAAGACTTAAAACTCGCTTTTATCACGTCTCTTAATGGAAACACACACACACACGCAAACAAAAAAAAGCCATGATTTACCATGCTCCATTCAGTGAAAACAAGTCATTTCACCTTCGCGAGCCAGAGCTCCCCCAGCCTCGCCCCACTTTCCACCGCAGCGGCCCTCGCAGGCTTGCCTTCTGAGGCTGCAGTACAGCTGCGCTGGGCAGCCAGGTGCAACCACCCCCCAGCAGCGGTATGGCTAATTCAGGGGAGAGCAAAGTTTTCTTCTCATATGAACTAGACTCCCTGACATGCGTCTAACTCATGGCCTGTGGGGCCCCCACCTGGTTTTGTTAATGAAGTTTTACTGGAACACATCCATGCCCGGTCACTTACATATTTTGTCTGTGGCTGTTTTCGAGCCACCTGGCAGAGCTGAGTGGTAGCAACGAAGACTGATATTTTAGGCCCAGGAGTCTATAATTTTACTATCTGGCCCTTTAAAAAGTTTGCCGACCCCTGTCCTACTTGAAGGTCACGTGCATGGAATCATGACTTAGGCAAACGAGATCTAACTTACGCTTCAAATGTCAGCTCTGTTAAACAGCTATGATCTTGAGCAAATGACTTAACCTCGCTGACCCTATTTCTCATCTGCTTCTCGAGCACAGCGCTAGCCAAGCAGGTGTCGGCGTCTGCGGTGCCCGCTCCTCCCCTCATAGACGTACTCGCTCCGCCAGGCTCTGGCCAGCCCACCAGCTCAGACGCCGCTCAGGTGTGCAGAATTCAATGGCCACTGGCTCTTCACATATACTTTTATTTATTTTTTTAGGTGAGGCAACCCTTGGTTGACCTCACAGATTGCAAGGACTTGTCAGCTTACAATCTCTTATTTCTTATTTTTTACACCTACAGCACCTGGTCTTCCTAGGTGGCCTCCCATCCAAGGACTAACCAGGCCCGACCTTGCTTAGCTTCTGAGATCAGACGGGATCAGGCTTGTTCAGGGGGGCGTGGCCGTAGACCACACATACTTTTAAGGTCCAACAACGCCCAGGGCTGTGTGAGCGAACCAGCCCGCCACTCCCTGCTGAAAACAGAGTGCGTGGATGAGTGTTAGGGTCCCGAGCCAGAGCACTGGCCGCTGGACTTTTACTCGGGTGATGCCACCGGCTGTGTCACTTGCCCACAGGACGGGAATGTGGTGTGTGTGATGGAGAGGCTCTCGCCCCGGGCCAGGCATTTCAAACCTTCTCCTTCTTCTAAGAGCAGTAAGTGTAAAATCACTCAGCTCTTCTCACTGACGCTGTTTTATAGCTAACTCTGGGGAAACATCTTATTCTAAGAAACAGTAAGAATGGATGTGAAGGGCTCCATCAACAGGTAGCCCGCTGGGTTTCGGAAATGCCACGTACATAACGAGACACCCTCAATAACACAGCAGGACAGTGAAGACCTGCAGAAAACAGAAAACAACACGCCATTCCCCACGAGTAGCACGGTGGCTGCAGTGTGGGCTCTCTGGTCAGTCTATCTCAGTCTGACTCTCACTCTGAGACCTGTGTGAAGGTGGCCGCTTTCTGGCATCCCCGAGTGTGCATGACAGTACGTGTCACGAGAAGGGAACTGGACGAGGAGGCAAGAGTCCCCGGTCTGGCCCAAGCCGGTCTCAATACTTGCTTCATTGTGGCCAGGTGGACCTCTCTCGTGGCTTCAGTGACCCCGTCTGAAAAAGGAAACCGCTCGACCCATGAGCTCCAAGGGTCATTTAATGATGTTGGTTATTATGTGAAGACCACCTTTAGGTGAACGCGGTCACTGGTACTGGGGAAGACCAGGTTCTTTGTCACATCATCCACAGAGCGTGAGTTTCCACTAAAACCCAAAGCATCAAAGGTCCCGTACACCCAAAGGTGAGCAGCCACCTGTGATGGCATAATCCACGTTCCTTTAAAGTACCGTGTGGGAGCTGGGAGGCTGGAGGGGTAAAACCAAAACCTACGAAATCAGTGGAAGCAAAAAGTGAACTGTATTTCCTACAAAACAGCTTTCTGCCCTAATCACAGGCCAGAAACCACGCTGCTCTGAATGAGCTTACAGAACTCTCGACGCCTGACAGCCCGGCACAGACCTGCAGTTTCTCGTCCATGTCGTCATCGCTCTCATCCAGGTCTTCATGGAGCAGTCGCCATTCATACTCGACGTGGACGTGGGAATTGAACCTTCCAGATAAGGCTTGGGTCAGCTGAGGAGAACAAAGGACTGTGGGTGACGCTGCTCATGCACCCGGCCCCGCGCAGCCCCAGGGAGCGGGCACCCACCAACACGTCCAGGAGGGAGAGCACTGGCTGGCGGGAAGGGGCCCGGGACTGCAGTACGAGGCCGGCCACGTCGACCGGTCTCTGGGCCTCAGGAGAGCCCCCTCCCTAATCCAGACGACCACGAGACTCCCGTCGTGTGCTATGTACACTGTAAAGCGCTGCCCGCGGGCAAGGACAGTGAGATCTATTTGAGGATGACGGGCAGCCCAGCCCGTAAGTATGGACAGCAGCACCTGGGCTCAAACTCAACCTGCACAGAACGAGCGAGTGCCCGCTGTGAACCCCGCCTTCCCCAGCGGACACGAGACAACTGAGCCCTGCAGAAGACAACGTGAAAGACTGTCTTCTCAATTCTCTCAAGGATGGTGAATGGCTGGTTCCACTACATGAACTGGAAGGAAGCTAATTCATTAGCTACAAGAGGGGTCTTGTGACATTAGAGCTTAATTATCTTCATAGCCAGAGAGTAGCTGTGCGCCCTCTGGTAAGTTGCTTAGCCTTGCTGTCCTCGTCTGTGAAATGGGGGTAGCAGCAGAGGCCACGCCAAAAAGCAGTTGTCAGGATGACGTGAGTCAGTAAACAGTGCTCAGAACAGTGCCTGTTACTCATCCGACACACCTACGGCCTTTCCATTTCCTGAGCACTTCACAGAGTCCAACAGTAACTCCCACGACCACCTCGCACACTGGCGTCACCGTCTCCACGTCACAAAAACGGAAATGGTGGCGAGTTGGCATGGCCTTCCTGAGTCACAGCGGTGGGACCGCACCACAAACCAGGGTCCGCCTGACCCCAGCGGGCTCTGTCCACTGGCCACACTGTCTCATCTTCCAGGACGGGACAGGAGAAGGTGGTGCACAATAACCCAAACGCTTTGGGCAGGGGGATGGAACAGAGCCAGCTCTGGTGTGCTGACGCGAAGGGTCGCACCAACAGCTTAGACACGTCAGAGGACAGGCAGCCTCCTGGCCTCTGCTCCACGTGCCCAGACAACAACGCCAGGGGCGCTGTCAACACGTCCAGCCAGCGAATACCAACCAGGCGTCACTTGGAGGGGAGTGGTCATCGCCTCTGGAAAGGCTCCCCAAAACACTTTCTCTAAGTCGTCCCATCGAGGACACTGGGATCTGATCAGGACCCACACTGCCGGGCTCAGAAGCAGCCCTCCCCGAGGGTCCTGGGACGTCCGCGCCCACCCACGCCGGCCACACACTCACCAGCTCCTCACAGTGCTCGTGCCTGAGGCGCCTGGCGATGTCCAGCGGGGTCTCTCCTGACTCGTTGGCTGAGGGAGGGAGGCAAGGGGAAGCATCACAACAAAGCCAGTGACGTGTGACATCAAGAGACAATTAACAAGACAGAGGGGGAGCACTACATCAAACTGCACGTGACTGATGAACTCCGCAGTGAGCTGGCTTTACTCAGGGCTGAGTTTGTGTCATGACTGTACAGAACTGCTGTGTGTAGTAAGATTTTATAAGACAAGGTTTGCGCTAACCGTGAAAATCAAACTGCTGAAGCAGCCAACCAGTGAAAGCCAATATGGAAACTCTAAGTCGAAGGAAATGGTCCATCATAACTCTAACCAAAGCACTGTTGATGGAGCTGCAGCACCTGCTACAATAAGCTGCACTTCCTGTTAAGCTGTCTACAAATCTGGAATTGTACACTTTCTTCTAAATAAACCTCAGTCAATGAAGTGGGGATTGAAAAACAAAAACTTGACTCTCAAACAGATGTGTGCTTCCTTTCTCTTTGCAAGAGCCCTTCGTAAGCGAGCACTCCGTCACGGCTCGTCACAGCCGGCTGCCCTCGGGCTGGACTGTGCCTGGCCAGCTGACCGCCAGCACATCAGGGTCCCATGGTCAAGGCAGGGACAGTGAACAGTGTCCTCCACAGCACATCAGCTGCCCCGGCTGATCCTGGGTGTGGATTAGGGACCGGAGGGCACAACGCCCAAACCTGGAGCAAATCCACCGCCTCAGTGACAGCCGCAGGGCCTGTCCTCTGCCTCGGCGCCCACACGATGCCCGCCAATGCTGGCGTCTGCCAAACGGGGCGGATGCCGCTGCAGGGCAGACCCAGCGCCCTGCAGAACACAGGGCGGGGGCGGCCTTCTCCTTAGAGAGTGCGGTGGCCTCGCCCAGCGTCTGCCCCGGAGCAGGGCGATGGCGCTCACCTATCTCGATGGACGCCTTGCCGCGCAGGAGCAGCTTGAGGCACTCGGCGTTGTCCGTCAGGCAGCAGTAGTGCAGGGCCGTGCTGCCTTTCACCGTCTGCTTGTCCAGGTTCCCACTGGCGAGAACGGGGAAGAGGCAGGCGGTGAGTCCCGGCCCGGGCAGGGGACCGAGACGCGGGCAGGAGAGTGGCAAGCTGCCAGCAGCCCCGGAGGATTTCCCTCAGTCCTCCTGCCGGGTGGGCGTGATGTCCTCGGCCCCAGGCCCCGGGAACCAGCGGCGATGGCAGAGAAGGCCGGAGAGGGTGAGGCCGCTGTGCCACCCGCCTTCCCACCCGCTTCCCCACCGGTGATGGCCTGTCCTGTCCCACAGAAGAACGAGCTTTTCCACCTTATAATTGATACTTTCGCCAGAAAGGGGAAAGGCCACCTCCCCAAAGTCCAGGGTCCCAAGCCTCCTCTGGGCCTGCTCGCCCTGGACTGGCCCTGAAACCTGGCTCAGGGGGAATTGTGAGGAGATTTCAAATGTTCTTCTCACATAAAACAAGACCAGGTCACCCCGGAAAGGTACTCGTGTGCCTCAGGCGTGAGACAAGACACTCGACCCATGGTGGGGGCCATGGACAGTCTGCTTGCCAGGGGCCTGGTGTCTCCCTGGGTCCTCGACACCCAACGCAGAGCTGTGCAGGCCTTGTGAGGGGTGTCCTCCTGCGCACCCCAGGCTTCCGTAGGATGGCACCAGCGCCCCACACCCGTGACACTTTTCCTGTCCCGTAATTAATGCTCAGACCTGGGGAAATCCCAGCGCCTCAGCCACACCTGACGCGGTGAGCCAGCACCAGACACCTTCCCCGGAAATACCAAGGGCCAAAACTAAACGCCCCCCAGTGGCGGAGCACCCACCTGTTCTGAACCAAAAAGTCTACGATGTGAAGGGAGGTCCGGTCCACGGATCTGACGGCCAGATGGAGGGCGGTCTCATCCGGCTCCTGCAGACCGAAGAGAAATGGCCCAGAATCCCAAGGGGGAACGTTCAGTTTTGTGTCCCACACAAATGACATTGTGTATCTCTCTTCCAAAAGCCTTTTACTCTTTCTTTCACAAATCTGTCACTAAGATACACAGCGCCCCCTTCGACCTCCGCAGCAGACTCTGCCCTTGGGACCCTGCAGCTCGGAGGCTGGTCCTACATCTCGCTCCACGGGAAGTAACGAGGGATTTGGCGGTGTCCTATCGAACTCCTCCCATCTTTCTGTCCTTGTCCCTGTACTAAGGACACGAGGCGCTAAGACCTGGACTGTCTTCAGCTGACAATGTGGGGGATGCGACCACCGCTGCCTTTTCTGAAAGTTCTGGAAAGTGAGGGGAAGACACCCCATGGCGTTGTTTCTGGTGGGGGAGGGGCGAGAGGTGCGGGCGAAGGAAACGCCACACCAGCCCCCGTGGAGGCACAGCGCGGGGACGCGACGGACCGACCGCTGACCCGACCGCCGACCCGACCGCCCTGGCCTGAGCTCTCGCTCGCCCTGTGCTACGCCGTCAGCGTTCGATTTCACGGCCCTGCCCGCTTTGCTCCCTTTACCCCCTTTTCCTTTTACTCCAAGTGGCAAAAGCCACGCGCTCACATGTCCATTGGCCAGCGGGATTTTTTCTGTAAGATCCACGCCATCAGCATACGCCTGGAGTAATCCAAAAATATCTCTTGTTTTGACGGCCTCGCACAGGCCGTGAAGCTTCGCCGCGTTATCCGCGTGTTTTTTCCTTGCATATCTCCTCTCAATGTACTTGGCGGTTATGTAGTCCTTCCTGGCGTTCCTGAAATCAAACACCGTCGCCTTGTAAGTGACTAAGGGCCTCCGTTCAAACACGTGCAGCACCTGCTCATTAGTTCGCCCCCACCCTCCTTGTAAGCAGCACTGGCAGAGTGACGTCAACCGGGAAGCAGCCACCACGTGACCACTGCAGCACCCGCGTTCGCTGTGACGCCCTGAGCACTTTCATGATGCGTCGAAACCCTCGTTTCCAACACAGGCCTCGAGGCCCAGTGTGGGGCTCCCGGGGCCCGGCCGGGTCCCGAAGGTGGCCGTGCAGGTGGATGACGCACATGCAGGGCGGGGCTGCGTGCTCCGCCGCGTCTCCACTCCCGTCCTCGATTTCCGTGTCCCCACCTCACCGAGCTGCTGCCGTCGCCACCTGGTGCAAGTCGCACGCCTTCGCTTGCCAAGGTCCCTGCACATGGCACGGTGTGTGCCTTCTCCCCCAGGTAATGCACATTCCTCGACAGCTGTGCGCGCGTCACCCCCAGACCGCCTGGCTTGCCCTCTGTCAGAAGGTGTGCTCTTGGGCGGTCAGTCTGTCTGTCTGCCTGTCTGCCTGCCCGCCTGCCCATGGCTTTGTAAAGGACATTTACTACCATGTGACTCCTCTGCCCCTCCCCCTTCTCGAAAGGCTTAGGCTTTTGAAGAAAAGCAATGAGGTTAATATAACGATACAGCTGGCATGTTGTCCAGAAGGGAGGTTCTCACACTTCTGGAGGACAGAGCATACACAGGGGTCCCGAATCACAGGAGAGAAATGGTCCCGGCCTCTGCAAGCAGACCAAACCTCCCGCCTACGCACGTCTCCCAGCACCCCCAAACCCAGCTCGGTTTTCACAGGCTGTCAGAGAGTCTTTGGCTTCCCCACCAACAGATTTTTCTGTAGATGGCATGTTGTTCTGAGATAAAGCCAGAAATAGCATATTCCTTTTACCTGGAAATACTAGCTTATTTAAGTAACCACAGAGCTGGGACTTTATCTCTGATTTGTTGATTCATTAAATATGCTCTTCCCAGAACAAGCAACGTATTGTGGTGGGAAGTACAAAGATGAATAAGATGTAATTTATCAGAAAATATATGTAAATGCCTAGGTATGATACAATGTGGGATGAAATGTTTTAGAACAGATTCGAAAGCTGCAGGAGCAGAGGGGGCCTGCTGACGATTTCAGCCGAGGAGGTAAGAAGGCGGGTGGCATCTTGCCCTCACATCGGTCTCTGCCCTCCTTTGCAGAAAAAAGGAAGGAGTAAACTTAAATGTCTTTTTCATTTGTGCCAAGGATGGCGGGGAGGGGGTCTCGATGCAGACAAAACATTTATATTGTAGGGTTCCAAGCAGATAGTACGCATTTTTGAGAATCGTCTAGCTCCAGAATAAACAAAATTTCTGCCTTTATAAAGTACTCTTGGTACACAGAAGAAATTATTTATTATATACTTTGTCAAAATTGACTGACATTACAGCATTTTGGGAAATCACCTTCACTGTGAGAGTAAGTGTCAAACAGTAAATAAATGACCATGCAATTCCTTTTACTCAACAGGACCTCCCGGTGATCCCCAGAAGGATCAGCTCACTTCTCAGTCACTCTTCAACTGAACCCTAGTTTGAGAGGGGCCCAATTTTTCAGGGTGTGTGGAATGGACGCTGCCCAATCCTGGTGAGCAAGCGGCAGGCTGACCCCAGCCTAGTAAGATGTGCTTCACTCCATCTTCCCGCTGGAGCCCCAGCGACTCTGAGGCGCGGGGGGCTGTTTCCTTGCTCGCGTTAGAGGAGGGGGGCTCAGAGCTGGCAGCCCGCCTGCCTGGGGCCACGAGCAGGTGTGGACTGGATGTGTGTCCTGCTCTACCTCTCCAGGTTGGGGTAAGGGCAAAGATTCGAAACTCAAGACTTTCACCGAGAGAGGACAGTAACTCTGCAAGCCTCGTGCTTGGTCTCTAAAACCACGCGTTATCCAGCCTGCTGCACGCCTCAGACGGGAGCTGACTAATCCGGCACAACCGAAGGCTCACCTCAGACACCTGAGAGCCGGGAGGGGTACAATGGACATGTGTCTGCTCGTTCCTCTAGTTCTAAGCTCCCCCACTGTATTAAGTCTCTTCACCTGAACACAAAAGAACACAGATCCCACAACCTCTGCTTCCCAAAGATGTGCCCCCCGCCCCCCCCCCCGGCTGCAATGCTTACAAAAATCTCAATTCTCTGCTTTTAGAAAGGGCCTGCACACTGCCTCCTATCTGTAAAGTTGCTCCTGAAGCTGCTGTTCCCGGCTCCCTTGCCCAGTGTCCTTTCAGAGGCCTGGGCCACCAGTGCACCTCAGGCTCACTCCAAGGGCAGCGCTGCCTCTGTAAACGAGTTTTACGTGCTCCATTTATCACGTGTCTCTCTCTCCTGCCAGAGCACTGATCTGGACTCACCGCTCAAACGCAGGTGCTGTCTCTTTTAACTGGCCTGGAGACAACTCCCTCCCCCTCCCCTTCCTCGGCCTGCCTCGCTGGGCATCACACTTTAGCTTTAGCGGATAAACCAGCCCCAGGCCTCCTGTGGGCAGGCCGTCCACTGCGCTGGCCCGTCTGCCTCCCGTCCACCTCTCGCTCAGAGACGTGTGACCTGCGTGATTCGTACTTTGCTTGACAAGACTGGCAGGAAAAGCCCCTGTTGTGAGCTCTGCCTCGACGGGCCAGCTGGATGCGTGTGATGAGGCACAGAAGCTTCTTGGTCAGGTTTGCTATTAACAGTAAAACAGCAAACATTTTTTGGAAGGAAACAACACACTCCACATTTGTAAGGACACCGGGAAAGAGAACGATACACAATCGTGTTTCTGTGACAACTAGCCCTCTCAGGTGGCTCGGAATTTACCTGGAAAGAACTAAGACAGGGAGTGAGCACACCCGGGGCCGGCAGGCGATCGCACCCGCACACCACCAGCAGGGGGCGACACTCACCACACCCAGAGTCTCCACCAAACATCTGTGTGGACACCCAAAAAGGTTAAGATGACTAAAATAGCAAAACAAAACAAAAAACACCAACGTAGGCCGATTTATTCCCTAAAGAAACATCTGATGTAGCCAAACCCGTCACTCCCCTCCTGTCAGGCTCGGGGACGGGGCCGACCCTCGTTCGGGAGGGGAGGACAGCCGGTCCCACACTTACATGTCGCTGCCAGGGTTGGGTTTGACCGAGTCCTCGGCTGGAAGGCAACACTCCATAATCTCGTTAAAGCCTGCGTTCCCAATATTCTTGGCGAGCTGCAGAAACAAAAGTCCATTTGAGGGTACTCAATTATTCATGCTTCCCACTGCTACATGCTCCTCATCCATCTGATGATTTATTTAGCGGCCACTAAGAAATAGCGCAATAAAGTGGTTTGCCTTTAATAAACATGGACAAAACCCAAACCCCAAAGGCAGCCATAGAAGCCGAGAGGCAGCAAGCAGCAGGCCTGCTAGAGGAGTGTTCTCAGAACGTGCCCGGATGGAGCGCGGGTGTGACAGAAAGGGGGGGACTTGGCCCAACGTGGCTTCCGTCCTTACCCGCTCCCTCGAACACCCGTGATGTGACAAAAATGGACCTGACTGCCTCGACTTGGGCCGGCGAGGAGGTGGCTCTGATGCAGGGGAGAGGGCACTGGGCCTGGGAGCCAAGATCTGGGTTCAAAGCATGGTTCTATTTCCTGGCTTTGGGACCGCAGGTAAGTCAGTTTACCAGAGCTCCGATTTCCCATCAGTAAGATGGGGACGATACCTACCTTGCTGGGTGGTAGTAACGGTAAAATGGGACCACTTAGGCGAAAGCACTCAGTGAACTGAAGAGCTAAAAATATAAAGCCTTTGTTCCCAATGGAAGGTCCTCATTCGCCAATCGACCTTCTGACTTGTTCAAAATTAAGTGAACACATGTTCGTTAACGCTTACTGTACGCCTGGCACTGTTCGGCGTTCGACACACAGGCACTAAGATAAATGTCACCGTGTGCCTTAGTAGAGCCGCCCCGACAGGATGGCAGCTGGCACCCTTCCGAACGGAGGCGCGAACCCCGAATGACCGGGAGCTCCTTAGAAGCAGGGGTTCACTCGTCCAAGCACCCCGCTCAGCGCCTGACAGAGAGATCAGTTTCCAGGCCAGCGTCTCCGATGTCTAACGACACAAAATACCCCGAAAGGGCCCCCGGCCCAGTGCTGTGGACGGAAGAGACATTTTAACGTCCTTGCTGACGATGCAGTGGGGAGCGCTCTCAGCGGACTGTGCGGAGAAGGGCTGTTGGGGACGTCCCGGGAGACAAAGCTGCTGCCTGAACGGCTCCTTCTCTCTCCAGGGAACCGGCTGGAGGAACAGCCAAAGGGATGCGGGTTCGGAAAGCGCGCTTCCTGGTGGCAGTAACGTGGAACAGTGCAAGGGGGCCGGAGGGACAGGGGGACGGCGGTGAGGACCATTCCTCAGCTTCCCCTGTCCTTGCCAGTCACCAAAGCTTCCCAGATGGTCCCGAGCACCACGCGCTAACCAAGTCCGCCCCAGTCCCCAGGCCAGAGTCAGGTGGCCAGACTCCAGGCTCTGCATTAGTCCCCCAGAGACGGGCTGATGGTCAGGGTGGCACGCCACGTCAGGTGACAGGGGCTGACGGCCTGCGAAGGGTTTCTTGGGCAGCCGGTGTCAGATCCAGGACTGACCCCACTCGGTGTCGGAGCCCCTGCCTGGAACAGGCGTGCGTTAGTTAACACGCCATCTTCCAATGTAGCGTGGACACCGTCGCTGAGCCAAGCACAGTCATTTCCAGGTGAGTGACAGAACCAGCCGCAGTGCCCCTGTGACTGAGGAACACGCACGCCCTCCAATCTATGACAAGCAGATGGGCGAGGGCTGCGAGGAGAGCTCCCCAGGAATCAGAAAGCTGCTTCCCTTCTGCTTGTCGCTGGCTGGTGTACTAGGGGACAGCTGGTCCAGGGAGCCACCGCGTCGTGCGTCACACTTGTCCAATGCCGAGAAATGTGCCGCCTCACAGTTTTGCCAAGTTCCAGTGAAGACTTCAGCCTGCAGAGAAGCCCTCTGAAACCATCGACGAAAGCAAAGCACTCGCAGATGGAGGCTGCAGGTTCAAGTCAAGAAAACGGGGGCCCAGCAGGCCACGTGGGCAGGAGCCAAGGAAGCAGGAAGGCCGGCTCACGTGCCCTCCACTCCCAGGGTTCCATCCCCAGGCCTGTGAGGGCTCGCCGAGGCAGACACGGGGCAGACTCCACGCAGGGAGCGAACCCCAGCCACAGGCCAGTCCGTGAATGCACACCGACCCCTCGGGTGTGCTAGGCGCTGGGCACTGACACGCTCTTGCCTGAAGGAACTCAGTCTAGCAAGACTGCGATGAATTAAAACGGGACAAGAAGCCCGTGCCAAGAACTGTGAGGACGAGATGCACAGGCACGCCAGAGAGGAACCCGGTCAAGACGGCCGCTTGCCACTCTCGCCCTGCACGAGATCCCGCACGGCACGGAAGCACGCCGAGGACGGGGACCAGGATCGCACATGCCGGAGACACCGGGCCGTGCAGGGCCCACGGAGCTGGGAAGAGGCCTGCCTCATGCTGGACGGCTTGTTAACGGCCTCATGGAGGAAAGGTAGGAGGAAGCCATGGGAGAGGCCCCGGTCAGCGACGTGTGCTCCCCAGGCTTTCGACCCTGTTCTTCAGTTTGATGGAAGAAGAATTTTTAAGTTACTAACTCGAATTCAATTGTGTAATATCCAAATCTCCTTTATGGTGTGAAATGGATCATATGATAATATTCTGTACAAATAATACTGTTTTACGTGTGGCCTGAAAATCAGTTTTGAAACGATGACCTATGTTAAGAAAGAAATTTATTTTTCATGTATCTGTGCTTGCCATCGGGAGGTTTTCTGAAAGCAGGTTTGCTTTTAAACCTGAGGACTAAGCTGGTGCAGGCTAACGCGGTAAAAATGGCACCGATTCCCTGAACCAATCGAATGAATGCGTCAGTTACCCGTTTCCTTCCACTGAAGGAGAAGTGATTCCGAAAGCAGGCAGAGGAAGAGAAGATGAGTACCAGCCAGCGGCCTTCATGGCTGCTGCTGAAATCCACCCAGTTAACATGGAAATCAAGTGTGCTTCGAGCAAAAACGAATTAAAAAGGATGTGGTGACACCGTCACAGCAGACCATGTGGGGACACTGTTTGCAAACCCACGTCCAGAAAGTAACTTACAGAATTAAGGAAAAGACTTTACCGCGAGGGCTATGCTGCAGCCACAGGGGAACACACAAGCGACGTTTTGTGGGGGGAGCATCCGCGTGTTCAGGAACACAGTGCCAGCCAGAGCAAAAATCCCAGCTTGTGTACCCGCTGTCTCTGTCCAGCCACCCAGAGCCTCTTTCCTGTCACGGCGCATCACCCCGAGGTGTGGGCTCCGGGACCGACTCACCTAGAGACAGGGACCAGCGCTGTGAAGCGCCGTGCCCAGGCTGCAGCCTCGCGAACGCTGGGAACCTATTCCCCAGCTCGTCCTGTCGTGTCCTCTACGGGGTACGCAGAGAGGGCTCACTGACGTGTGCCACACAAGAGAACACGCCGTGAGGACCCAGACCAAAGACCCTGACGCTGCTGCTCTGAGCGGGAAGGTTTGTCAGGGAGCAGACGGCCAGAGGGGGGTCTGTGTGGATTCAGACGGCCGGGGGACGGGGTGGGGGCACGTGGCTCGTTCTTCTGAACAGATTCTATTAAGGTCACCTTGGAGGAAGAGATAGTAATGATAGCTAACGTTCTGTGGTTTTTACTACATGCCAGACACACACACGCACACACATGCACACATGTGCGTGTCTGAAGCCTTCGGAAAATCCTTTGTTCAGCCATCCGACTGTCTAAGCAAAAATAAAATAACCTGGCTCTTTAAAAGGCTTGTAGTTCTCACGCTTTACAAACGAATGCTAAGACCCGACACACACTCTCTACCTATCACATAACCTGACGGCTGAGGAAGAAGGGGTCTGCACACGACGTCGTGCACGCGGTCCTGGCACACGGGAAGGTCGTCGGGGTGAGAAGCCAGCCCACCAGCCGGAGCTCGGGGGCAAGCAGGGGGTGGAGACACACCCCACACGGCTCAGGGCCTTCTCCCCTTGCTTTCCGATAACCACTGAGGAAAAGGGACAGTTAGATAAGGGAGAGTTTGAGGCCACGGCAGAGATTAGATTCTGCAAATATCTGCACATACGAATTCACCAGGCTCGGCCCGATTTCTCTGTGATGGCTGAGTGTCGGCCAAACTCTAAACTCCGACGAGAAAACACAAACAGAGGCTCTGGGGGACAAAACCTCGGATCTGGACCCCCTAGGGATCAGAGTCGCCTCACACTCTCAGATGAAAACATTTCCCTTCACCCTCTTTCAGTGTCTCCCTCCTCAGGAGGTGAGCGAGTCTCGTGAAGACCAGCGGTTCAATTTCTGGGACATACGTAAGCGGGTATCACAGATGGGGTGGAGTCGAGCGCCTTCCCATTCATGAGAGATAAAATTACATTCCATAAACTCATAACTTAAAAATCATTGAAAAGTAATTGATACTCAAAACTCACCCCCCCTTCCCAGTGGTTTGGCTCTGTGTCACTACTGCCTGTTTCTGTGGTCACTCTGACTGCTCCAAGTGTCTGGCAAGCCTCTGGCAGGCGGTGCCCAGCACCCGCTTCCCGCTCCACGCAGTGACCCGCACCCGGAGCCTGAGACGCGCCCGTGGGGGCGAGAACGGCACGTGCACAGGCAGACGACATGGCAGGGCTCCCTTACCAGGGGCCTGGTATCTGTTAGTGATGGGATGGGGGAGCGAGGGGGTACAGGAGTGACACAGGACAAGCCAACCCACCGCAAAGGCCAGTGTATGTCCCGGGCTCCTCACAGGTGAAGAGTGCGTGCTCTGGACGCAGGTTAAAGGGGCCCGCACCAAGTTCCAGCACTCCAGCAACCCACGGCCTTGGGCACATTAAAACCATCTAAGCCTCAGCTCCTCCTCGGTAAAGTGGGGATGATGTACCCAGGCCACAGGGCCGTTGTCAAGGGCAAGTGTGCTAATACCACAAGCGCTCTGCAAAGTGCCCGGCACAAAATGAGCGATTATTATTTCACCGTAAGTCACGCAATGCTCGCTTCCCACTGTTTTAAGAAAATCAGTATAGGTTACCTGTGCTTACTGAGAAGTGATTTGTATTTCTTTGAAAATACACAGTGAGAGTCTCAAATCTACACCAAAGTACTGCCTGTACACACACAGCTCCATGACGCAGGCTGTCCGCATCGCTACGCTACCAAGAGCCAGTGTGCAGCCGAGAGGACACTGCTTGGGTCTGGCCGAGGCCAGCTCAGTTTTAGACTTGAAGTGATCAGGGATGCTACTGACTGGGTGACCAAAATCCACTCTGGTTGCTCCCTACTTGGTCCTTCTGGGTCACAAAGGAATTCTTAGGGAAGGCTGGAAGGACAAAGTGGTTCAAACAAACGCATTACGAGTTTAGACATGTTGGATCCAGAGGAGTCATCGATGAGAGTTATGGCCCCTGAGAGATATACTGACCACAATAATTGATTTTGTGTCAAGACTATTGCTCTTGACATTAAAATCAATGGCACTCAATATCCACTTAATATTTACTGTCCGACGTCCAGCTACTCCAAGAAAAAATTTCAAACAGTGCTCTCTAACCTGCAATTATAGACTTTAAAAATGGTCCGCAAAGGATCATGTTTCAGGTGGCCCCAAAGGACCACCTACATGTGATGTGCCCTGCTCCTCAATACTCTGTAGGACACTTCACAGAAAATGTTTCGACCTCCTAATATCTATTTGTACCACATGGCTTGTGTGTTTTCACTGATTCAAGAATGAAAGACTTCAGGAACGAAGGCAATAAAAGCAAAGACCAATATCTGTCCCAAAGGGGGACAGCAAGGGGCAGAGGAAAATGCACTGGCAGCGAAGCCCAGCAGTGACCACGGACTTGGCAGGAACCCACCGATGACTCAGGGAGGAGGAGCCCTTGACTGCCAGGCTTCAGGTTCTGCATGTTTAATGAACGATGTGAACTAGACTATGCCGACATCCCATTCCAGAACCTTACCCTGGTCTCAACGCTTCTTTATGAGTTTCATTTTACTTGATTTACTTAAGAATAAAGTTTTGCAACAAGAAGCGACCTCAACTACTAGCAGCTGAGAAGGAGCAATTATCAATGAGTCTGTAATTGCCCAAATCCATCTGGCGAGTATCAACAACCACCCGCCCAGTGGAATTTCAAGAAACTAAAATAGATTCGAGTGCCAAAATTAAAACTTAGCTTTCGGCTCCTTTACTTCCATCCCAAAGTCAAGGGTTTGAACATTACCAGCAGCTCGGATGTTCCCAGCACATCTAACGTCAGGGACTGCATCCTGGAGTAGTGAACCCCCAGCTCCCGGTGGATCCCGGAACACTCGATGCAGGTCAGAATGCCCAGGTTGGTGGAAAGCCACGTGGGATCTGCCAAGGAGAACAGAGGAGATTGGGGCGTGCAGTAATTAATGGGTCAGGGGTCGGGACGTTTTCCTGCTTAATTACTAAACATGGGGTTTTGAGCATGAGTCTGTTTTTGATCCTTGATGCAGCCAGTACCTTCATTCCACCATAATTACCAACAATTTACATTCAACACACACATATGCACAGGTCTCTCCTCCCTCCTCTTCCTATGCTTCTGCCTCCCCATCCTTCCATTCATTTATTGAGTGGCAGACAGGTGCTATGTGAACAACAATGAACAGGACACGGTGCCCTCTAGTGGCCACGGTCCCTGGAGGGCTGTCCTGACGACAGACCATGCTCATCACCAACCGGCTCAAGCCAGCAAAAGGGAGAAACAGGAGGCCTGCCAAGTCCTCTACTACGGGGTGGACTGACGTAGAATGCACTCGTCCACATGTTCGCAAAGACGCCAATAACGACGACGGAGACCACACGCCACGTGCCATGCCGTGCTGTGGAAGCAGCAGTAAGAGCTCACACGGTGAGAGCGGCAGAAATTATAGCTCTTTCCACATAATACCTCGTTTAAAGCGTACGGAAGGTGTCCCAGGAGGGGACCAGGGCCGGCACCTTCAGGGCTCAGAAGGGCCTCACTCGGGGCTGCAGGTGGATGCAGAGCCAGGCTTCAGCCCCACCTTTACCTGGGCTCAAACCCACACTGGCACCATGTCACCGTGTTCCTCCTCAGTGTTACCTACTCACTGAGGCACCCTACTATGTGTGTGGCACATAGTAGGTACTCAAGAAGTACCTGACGGGTGAATGCTGAATTTACTGAAAATGGAATTCAAAATAAAACCTACTCGAGCACATTATCACAGACCATAAGTACAATGCTCTTTAGAATTGCTCGTTGTCCTTAGAAACGCACAGCAGGTAAATATCACAACCCTAGTCACTAAAAAAGTGTGAAGTTATTTTTCAAATGTTCAAGTTGTAAAAAATTTTATCCACAGTAGGGAATACTTCCGGGCATCTGTGTTTCCCCTTCACTATTCTACCGTACCAACTGTGCCATGCTTTTGGCAGGTATGAGCGTACATTTAGCCCACCTCATATCAAGTTTTTAAACCACTCACGTTGTCTTAGCATTTTAAAACAGAAATCTGCTTAGCTTTGACTTCCTTAAGAAAGTGTTTTCAAAGTCCAAGTACTAAACTATCCTTAAGAAGAAGCACCATTCACTACTTATCACTCCCTAAAGTATTAAGACCCAAAGAGATCTTAAAAGGTCCTGCCAAGAAGATATTTTTTAATGGGTCTAAGATCCCAGGAGGCCAGTCCTCAAATTACCCCCAAATACGGCCTTCGGTCTCGTGGCATTTCTCAGCTCACCACTCCATTTTTGTTGTGTTGGTTGCTTATAAAAATTGTCGGAATCTGAGGAGTGAAAAGGTAATGGACCACCCCAGCTGAGCCACAGTCTTTCTCATCTATAAAGGTTCAGAAAAGCCTGCTCCATATTCCGACGCCAACACCATTCCACCTTAATTAGGAGAATGAGCCAACTCCTTAAACTTTTAAAATACTAGCTGTTAAAAATCTACAGTGACACTCTATGTCCATTAAAAATGAAGGCCCTAATAGGCTTAATCAAAATGCACAAGCTAACATCTCATTTTACGAGATACGTAGAGCTGGAAGCGACCTGCGGACCCCCTCGACTGGTTCCTTTGTTTTCCATATAGGGAAGATCGACAGCTAACAGAATAAGCGGCGCTTCCAGGGCCACAGTCTAGACCGCGGCTTAAAGTTACAGGGTGGGAAGTTCCACGTGGTGGGACAAAGGCCGGTGGGGTCAAACCCGGGAAAAGCCTCTGGAGCCGTCAAGGTGACTCGATGACCTTGATCTCGCCCTCGCTCTGCACTTCAGTTTTCATGTCTCAGAAAGCATTAAATCCTTTCAGCTCCATCAGGCCCCCTCATGGGATGCCCCCCACATCCCGTGCCATCCAAATGTGCTCAGTAAGCAAGTGCCAGGTGGCCGCAGCCGCGCTGAGCTACACCAGCTCTCCATTTAAAACGAGGGGGAAAGTTAGCAACCGGGTTCTGTGGCTCGGGAGGCAGGGGTGGGGCCTCGGAGCTGGGGGGGGGAGAGGGGGTGGTCACCTGGCGCCCCGCAGTCGCAGCACATGTCGTTGCCCGTCATCCTCTGGACCTCGGAGATGATGTCCTTGGTCAGCTCCTGGACGATGTTGTTCTCTCCGGTGCTGTCGTCGCCCTTGAACGCGTTGTTCAGCGCTTCTTCCTTGCTGTTCTGAAGCACAGACACCCATCTAGAGAACCACAGAGGCCGCGTTACTCCCGGGGCCGCCGCGTTACTCCCGGGGCCTCCGCGTCACACCCCGGGGGCCTCCGCGTCACACCCCGGGGGCCTCCGCGTCACCCCGGGGG